GGGGAGTGAACCAGAAGATAGGAGATCTTTCTTTTTGTCTCTCCGTTTCTCTGTAAATCTGAATTTTCAATAAAAATAAAACTTTCAAAAAAATTCAGATCACTTTATATATTCAAGATAACACACTATGTTATGGGTAGAAACTCAACTACCTAAATAAGTTAACAGTTCCATTGAATTTCCTCCTGTTGAACAACATTCAAAATCGATATAGCTGAACACTCCTAGTGTGGGGCTTGCTTAACTTTCCTAGGCTGTGCATGGTGTCATAGCCGGAACCAGACTGGGCTTGGGAAACCAAAGCCAGAGCTCCCTGCTGTGGAAGCTGCAGGGGATGCGAGATGGCTGTTTCTCAATGATAGAGGCAAGAGACAACTAGGACTTCTCACACCATTTGCTCCCTGGAGAGATCCAGTACATACGAAAAGAGAGCACGTTCCTCTTAACTGCAGGAACTATCTTTTATTACCCCTCAGTAGATGCCTAAAACTGAAGACATACAGTGCCAGACCCTATCTAAATCATTCCAGGTATTCTCTTCCTATATACACAAAACTGTGACAACATGAGGCAAAGTTTAGCCAGGGTCCTGACATGATAGCCTAGTGGTTAAAGTCCTCACTTTGCACACACCAATATCCCATATGGGTGCCGGTTTGCATCCCAACTGCCCTGCTTCCCGTCCAGCTCCCTGCTTGTGGCCTTGGAAAGCATTAGAGGATGGCCCAAAGTCTTGGGACCCTGCACCCACATGGGAGGCCTGGAAGTGATTGGTTCAGCTCTGGCTGTTGTGGCTACTTGGAGAGTGAACCAGCAGATGGAAGATCTTTCTGTATCTCCTTCACTCTGTAAATCTGACTTCCAATAAAAATAAATCTAAAAGAAAAAAAGATTAGCCATAAAACCAGAAATGATCAAATAGAACAATTATAACTGTATGCTGAAATAAAGGTTGTGTTTGTGGTTATTCTCCCCCTTTCAAAATATCTTACTGTACTGTTTTCAGATCTCAGTTGACTGCGGGCAACCAGAAGCTCAAAAAGGGATTAAAATATATAGGTAATTCTACATTATGTATAAATATAAACATCAGATCATACCAACAAAGTTCTAAAACTTGGAAAGCTTAACAGATATCATAAATTATAAAATCATTTCTAAAGCTCCCCTTCTTAAATTCCATGTTTATTGCACAAAGAAAAAGATGACAAAAAGTTGCTAAGATTGCCTGTAGGAAAATACTCAGATGTTGAGATCACATTTCATGTTACTGGAAATTGCTGAAGAAGGTACAAAGTCTGGTAACATTATTCTGTTTTTAATATTCCACCTCAAGTTTCTTCCTTGCCTTCCAGGCCCGAAACGCTGGTTAAAACCTTTCAGAATCTCATGGTTGCTCAGTCATGTCAGCCTTCTTCCCCAGGGGACTGGGGTGTGGACTTTAACCCTACAGGAAGGCCACAAGGTCCACAACTCCATGCTGGTCTCACTATAATCAGGTTTCTCCCTTATTCGCTAAAGAAATGGCACTTCTCAAAGTCATCTATGCCTTTACAGTGTCAGATCCAATGTTTAACTCTGTACCTCTCTGGAGTGCCCACTCAGGGCTGGTCAGGCCCTTGCCTCAGTGGCCTCTGTAGCTCAGTCTCTGCATGTTTCTCTCTGCCTTCTGCATTTACCAGCTGGGTGACCTCACTGAGAACAGACAGCTTTCTGTCTTTAACCTGCATTTCTCCAAACACTAGGTCTGTACAGCAGTACTTGAAAAAACTGGTGGAAATGGAATTAGCAGTTTATTTTGGTGCCAAAAATCTAAAATACATACACAATTTTTTTTTTGCTAGTATATTTTTCATGACATTTTGAAACTCTCTTGCATGCACAGATTTAGCAATTTTTCCGTATATTTAATTTTTCCATAAATTTTTCAAAGTGCTGCAATATACACCCAGTACTTTGATATCTATCCATAGTTCTTTAATTCCATCTTAGGAGTTCAAAATGAATTCACTTTATCCCCCAGATATCTGTGTTTCCTAGCACAGGAAGCACAATCTCCATTTTTTTCTCAGTGATTAGGACAAAATTAGCTTGTTTTTGATTTTATTTTTTAAAAAGGATTTTTTTTTAAACTGGACAGTCAGGTACACAAGAGAGGAGGATAGACAGAGAAAGGTCTTCTGTTTGCTGGTTCACTCCCCAAGTGGCTGCAACAGCTGGAGCTGAGCTGATCCAAAGCCAGGAGCCAGGAGTTCCCCTGGGGTCTCCAGGTGCAGGGTCCCAAGGCCTTGGGTTGTCCTTGACTGCTTTCCCAGGCCATAAGCAGGGAGCTGGATAAGAAGTGGGGTAGCCAGGATGTGAAGCGACATCTGCATGGGATGTTGTTTCATGCAAGGTGAAGACTTTAGCTACTAGGCTGTGGGCTTTTGTTTTTGTTTTTGAAAAGCTTATTTATTCAAAAGAATAGGGACAAAAGGGGAGAAGAGAAAGACAGGGAGGGATAAAAGGAGGGAAGAATCTCTCCAATCAGTGATTCACTCTCCAAATGTCTACAATATCCAGGGCTGGGACAGGCCAAAGCCAGGAGCAAGAATTTAATTTTCATCCTCCCTGTGGATAGCAGGGAATCAAAATTTGAGTCATCATTTGTTTCCCTGCAGAGTACACATAGGTAGAAAGCTGGAAGGGAAATAGAGGCAGGACTCAAATCTAGGCACTCAGAATATGTGTGTCTCAAGTGGTGGTTTAATGTGCTGTGGCACCTAGACTGCTCCAGGCCAAAAACCTTAGCATCATTTCTGCCTAATTTTTTCTCACATTTTAGCATCCAATCCAGTGGGCCTTGTAGGGAAAGTGTGGGTACCACTCTGATGAGTTGCAATTCCAACTGTGAGCATGAGAACCAGGGCTGGGGCTGAGCATAGTTGGATAAGCTGCATTAGTGTGAGCTTGATGGTGTGGCTGGCTATGTTGAGCTAGGCTGCAGTACCCACTGGTGTGTATAAGAGCTAAATGGGATGCAGGACGGACTGGACTAGTCAGCTGCATACTGGCAAATACAGGAACTATGGCTGGGGTTGGGCCTGATCACTCTGACTACACTATAGTTTCCACTGGTGTGCTCGAGGGCTGAGTGTGTGGTGGGCAGGGTTAGGCTGAGCCGCAGCATCTGTTGGTTTGTGTGAGATGAGGCTGGGAACAACAGTGTGCATGAAGGTTGATGCTAGTGATGGACTGAGCCGGACCCCACACTGGCTGGCACATGCAGGAGTCAGGCTGGGGTTACCTCTGGCAATGCTTCTTTGGAGACCTCCCCAGTTGTACCGCTGGATTAAAAACTCCAACTACAGGGAAACCACAGCTTTTGTGGTCTGATCTTGAATGCATGTATTGCATTGGTCTCCTTGGTCTCCTCAGTTGTTGATGCCTGCACAGTAGACAGCATGCCAAGATGCACATAGGGGACATGACAATCAGCTCACTGAGGCCTGCACAGGACATCTAGTACAATAGCAGAGGATGGAGAGTGGGACAAATTGGACAACTCTCCAGGCCAAGCTATGACAGCAAGTATCTGGATGAGCAGAAACACTAAGGTAGATCATGTCAGCCAATCCTTGGAAGGATTTCCTTAACCTTGGAGCAACAAAATCAACAGTGTCTCAGAATTGTTGAAACCATTTAAGCAGTACCCTTAGAACTTGCTCCAGATTGGGGCTCCTAGGATGGCATCAAGCAGTTGTCCCTCATCCCCGGGTACTGATGCGGTAGGCTAATGGGAGTGGCCTTATTCCCTTCTCTCTCTGCCTCCCCCAGATATAGCCAGAAAAAAAAAATTGGAAGCAATTGTCTCATCCACTTTCCCCTATACCTTGACCCTCCCCACCCTAATCAATGATCCACCACATAAGCATACATCCTTCTTAACTATGTAGACAACATCAAAAATAATTTTTAAAAAATCCAATCCACCAATCTTGTTGATGCTAATTTCAAATATCCAAACATGAACAATCCATACCTCCTCTACCACTTCTACCCAAGCCTAAGCCATCTTTCCAGCTATGTAATAGCGTCCTGGTTCATGTTTAAGTTTCTGCTCTTGCCTCTACATAGCAGCCACAGGGAACTTTGTAAAATAAACCTCAGATAATATCACTCATTGGTTCAAAACCCTCTAATAGCTTTTGTCATGTCCCGACTGCTGCTGAAGGTGCTTCACCATGCAGATCCATCCACTCTCTAGCTCTTGCTTCTCATTCCCCTGGCCCTCCACCCCCGGCCACTGCCATTGCTGGCTGTTGCTGGGGGCAAGAACTGTTCGGCTCCACAGGTAACTGCTCAACTTCCATTTCTCTTTCACTTGCTCCATCCATGCATCTGAGGATGTACTTAAATTGTTGCTTATCAGAGGCCACCTGACTACCACATGAACTCTTGCTGACACTGTCTATCATCACTGTCTTCTGACAAGAAAGTACGGCAAATGAGAAGAGCCTTTGATTCCTCACTGCCTCTCTTCAGTGCTGAGGCAGGTGCTCTGCACTCAGAAATGCCTGTGGAGGATGACCACTATTTCTTCAAGAGTAAATGAACTAGACTGAAATGGGAAGACTGGAGTTCAGGCTAAGAGTCACTTTTTTGTCCTTACTATGGTTCTTGGCAAACATCTCCTAGGAGGACAAAACACTGCTGGCAAGACAGAGGGAATTTCCAAGCAGAAACACATAGTGTCAGGAAACAGCTAACTGAAGACGATGCCTCCTACATAGTAGTGGTAGAAGAATCACTTGGAACGTTTGAAAAGCACAGTCCCAAGATTGATCACAAAACATCAGATTTAGGATATGAAGATGATTGTGTTTTTAAAAGTTCTCCCTATAGATGCTGATGTCCAATCCTTGTTAAAAATCACTCTTTCCAAGTGGAGTTTCAAAAGGCATGTGGTAAAGTATGAAGTAAATAAAATAATATACATTTGTTTCTAAAAACCCACATACCTGACTGGGGACTCAAAAATATTGCTGTTTTTTGTTTCTTTTTGTCTTCATGTAAAAGCACTGCCTAAAAAATGAAATACACTGATTTACAAAATCGAAAGGAACAGTATCTGAAATAGCCTTAAAACTGACACCACATCCAAGAAGAGCTGAAATTAGAAACGGGAGAGGCAGAGGGTGCGAGTTAGTCACATGCAGGAAACACTGCCATCTTGTGCCCAGCAAGCCCTGACACACAGCTCATGTGAGTGGCAAAGAGACAGCAGTGGGGGTGGGGAGGAAGGAGGGAGAGCCAGCACAGAGCTGCACAAGCCCAGGAAGGGTTTCTGCAGTTAAGGGGTGATAGAGAAGCTTCCCTCTCCATTTTGAACTCCGTTTACCTGAACAAAGGTACCAGGTGACCTCAGAGGGCTAGGTGAAGAGGGGGATCCAAACAAACAATCTGACATACACAGACCTAAAGAAAGAATGCAGCACTTCTTGTTCCTACTTTAAATTCAGAGCAACAGCTCTGTTCTCAAACGTTTGTAGAAAGACTTTCTGCTATTTTAGAAGGCTCCACCATGTCTACTGGGAGAACAAAATAATATATTTGAAGAAACGAGAGGGAACAACACAATTTTCAACACAGGAAGAAGCTGAAATTTTCAACTGCTCCCAAGAGAAAGCGGTGACACCCTAGCTCCACAAGCCGCCTGTATCGAACTGATATCCAATCCTGGCTAAAAAGCAGGTGCTCATCAGAGCTGAGCAGCTTCTGTACTCTGCTCACCACCACCACACAAAGGGCAGCCTCCCAAAACAAGCTGGGGTAAATCTGCCTGAAATTCCATTTATACCATTGGGCATCCTTATGTATCAACTGGGAATATTAACTACCACAACTGACTACATGAAAATTAAATTAAATGAGATTATTTGTACAATACACTTTCCTTTTATAACCCTAAGAAAATCATTTTATTCCAGTGCTATGGCCCATTTCAGGGCAAAGTTCTGAATTCCTTATGCTGGTCCATGCTAGCTAGTCAAAGCTCAAACTTTCATGAACATTTAAGCCCTATTTTATAAATGGATGAACTATTTTCATATTTCTAAAAATGATGAAATAAAATGGAAATGAGGCGCAAGTGTTCTAAGAACAAAACATGGGCACACTGCAGCACAGTAAGAAAGTGTAAAGCAGTGCTGACACTCGTAACGCTGTGCATAAATATGATGGATGGCAGCAACAGGGCTAACTACTCATAGGAAAGCACCATTCCCCTGGGTTCCTTTACTGTGCTTATCAGCTGTGCTCTGAGAAACAATGTGAGAGCGTATACTTACTTGTAACTCATCAGCTTTTATATCTATGTCCTCTTCAAAATCTGTTATACAGGTGCCTAGCAGGGTCACTTCACTCATTTAGTCAAAATGGCCACTTCACATAAAACTTAAACATGCGGGCTCTGCAAATGTCTTAAAACTACAAACAACATATTTTCTTCACACCAAGAATAATCATGCTTGCTTATAGAAAACTGACAATCTCTGAAGATAAAATCCTCCCTTGTTCTCTCCAGAGAAAACCACCATTTCCAGTTTAGCATATTTCTTCATATTCCCTCTCCTGTGCATGTGCTGCATGTATTCAACAAAAGCTTCAGTGGCCCAGGGGTGCAGAGAGTGGAATGTGCTGAGAAAACAGTCTACCACCTACTGTACAGGCGTGGCAACGGCACCCTCTGAGTGAAGTTACGGGAGGCGTGGCCTGTGTGCTGGGGACTGGGGCTAAAACTTTTAGGTATCTGGGATGATAAGACTGTCATTTCATTAATATTCTTAGAAAACCCATCAAAATGATTTTTGATAAGATTATAAATAAACCCAGAAATAAGTTTTAAGATATATGCAGTATCAGAATTAAAGGGAAGTAAAACTCATTTTCCTAAAATGAAAATCTTTTTTCTTGTATGAATATATCAGAGAAATATGACTACACCAGTTAACTGTAAAAAGACTTCCTTGCAGTTGGTAGTGCCAGTAGCAAGGTGTGGCGTGTGTCCATACCTGGGGAGCCTTTAAACTGTGGGCATTCTTTTTTGATGTGCCCCTCTCTCCCACAATTGAAACACCGCTTCTCTCTGAGGTCTCTGTCATCTGGCCTCTTCCACTTTTCCATTGGTGGCCTGAGAAGCTTCTCCCTTGTCAGGTCCACAGGCATCCGCATGGGCTTGGCTTTTGGGGGTGTACAGGGCATGCTCTTATCTTCTTTTGCTGACACTTCCCTCTCTGTGTATTTGTTTTGAATTTCTTTGTCCTCTTTGTTTCTTTTTTCTTTGTTTTCAGGGTATCTTTGGTTCAGGGTATCTTCCTGATCTCGCCGTCGCCTCACTCTGGAAAAACACAAACATAACAGTAATGAAAACATCTAAACAGAAAACAACACTAACATGAAGGTAACTCCAGGTTTCACAAATAACCAGGAAGAAAAATTCTCAAAGGGAAGAGTAAGAATTTAACAGATAGAAATCCATTATCCTTATAAGAAGCTCTTAAGAATTTAAAAGTTTAGTTTTTCTTTTTCCAAGTTGCTCTCATGCTAACAAAACAAAAAATCAATGCAATAAAACACACCACACATATCCAAATCCAAACTTTTTGAATTAGTGCAACTCCTTGGTTCAATGGCTACTTTGATACTGATGTTACTACCAGATGATTGGCTGAAAACCCTTTCTGATAAATTAACATTCCTTCTTAGAAACTGGAAATGTGAGATGTGGGGCTTTACTGAACGTTCACATGAGAAAGGGATTATAAGGAATTTTTACTTTTAAAATGTCAACATTCATTTCTTCCATGTGCTATGTGATCACCATTATTTGAATGATAAAAGTTAAGTACTAAGAAAGAGCCCATTAGATTCCAGCTGGTACTTGAGTAGTTAAAACATTGTCCAGTCAGACACCCATCACTATTGCCCAAAATATTACGTCTCAAACAAGCAAGCCAAAGTATGTCCACAGTACCGTCCCCACCCCTCCGCTTCACAAACATCAGCATCAGAAAGCATGGTGACCAAACTGAGAAGCTTATTAACAATTAAGGGTTAAGCTAACTAATAATGAAGGATTCTATATCCCAGTAAATTCTCAGTGATATAAATCCCAACATGATCCATCTAAATCACAGGCTATACCTTGTTTACAATGGAAAACCTGTGGGAATTAATTTGATTGTTAATTGCCTAAAATGATTCTAAACTTTTCACTGCTGTAAAAGGGGAAGGATTTCAGTTTTTTCTATTTTGCACCTATAGAAGAGGTTAATTCAACATTATGGCCATCACCAAAATTTTAAAAAGGGACTACAAATAGAAGATTATCTGCTCAATACATTTGAGTCAACTCTCATCACTTACACTTAATAGTGATGTTTTAAATCACACATTTAAGAACCTTAAATGTATCTGGAAAAACTTGTGATTTCATGCAAGGTTATTCCTTCTATTACAAAAGAGCCTTATTTAAAAGCTCAGGGTGCTAGCAGTGTGGCACAGGCAATACAGCTGTACCACGTGCAATTCAGCTGCATGCTCACAGCCTGAAAAAATAACAGAAGCAACTTCTCAGGCCGCTGCCAGAGAAGCCGAGAGGCAGGTGATGGGGACCTCAGGCAGAGGCATGGCTTCACGTGTGGGAGAGAAGGGCACATAGGAAGGAATGCCCACAGTTTAAAGAGAGAAGACAGCCCAGGGTTTGGACCCCTGCCACTCATGTGGAAGAGCTGAGAGAAGCATCTGGTTTTGTGAACCAGTGGATGGAAGGTTTCTGCTTCGCCCATTTTCAATCTCCAACTTTCAAATAAATAGTTCAGTCTTGGGAAAAGGACCACAAGAAACTCCAGGCTCTCAGCTTTGGACTGGTCCAGCTCCAGCCCTGCTGGGCACTTGGGGAGTAAACCAGGGCATGGAAGACCCTTCTCTGTCAATCCTCCTTTCAAATAAAAATAAATAAAGCTTTTTTAAAAAGCATTATTGTCTCTCAAAAACAAAAACAAACACAAAAGAAAAAAGCAAAGTAAAACAAAGAAAAACAGCCCCAGACACAGAAAATAAAAGTACTCTTTTTTTTAATATTTACTTACTTTCTCCTCATAGGACAGTCCTTCATGAAGTGTCCAATTTTCCCACAAATTCTGCAACATCTATCATTTGGGGCAAGTTCACCTTCAGTTAGTACATCCGGATCAAAAAAATATTCCTATAAGACCATAAACACAAAAGCGCAAACTGTTAATGAAATCAAACACAAAGACTACCAAGATGTTAGAGAGATATCTTGGGTGTCGAGCAGGGATATGTTTTTAACAAACATTATTTATACTGTTTAATTCCAAACAAAATCTAAAACTAGCAGGAATTCAGATTCAGGTCAGTTTTACCCATATTCATTTTTATTTATTCCTCTTGGTCACACAGGGCACTGTTTGATCCTCACCCTTATGGTTTAAACACTGAACTAAACAGGAGCATTTCCCATCCCTACCAGCCACCTTCCCCAGGAATCAGGAGGGCATTTAGGATGGGTAAAAGGGGCTCACAAGGGCCCAGGGTGGTAGTCTGGTGGCTAAAGTTCTCGCCTTGCATGCAATGGGATCCCATATGGGTGCCGGTTCTAATCTTGACAAACCCATTTCCCATTCAGCTCCCTGCTTGTCGCCTGGGAAAGCAATCGAGGACAGCCCAAAGCCTTGGGACTCTGCACCAGTGTGGGAGACCTGGAAGAGGACCCAGGTTCCTGGTTGTAGATAGGCTCAACTCTGGCCATTGTGGCCATTTGGTGAGTGAGTGAATCAGCGGATGCAAGATCTTCCTCTGTCTCCCCTCCTCTCTGTGTATCTTTCCAATAAAAATAAATAAATCTTTTTTTTAAAAAAGCCTCACAAAACAGAAACTCAACCCTAAGAAAGTGAACATGATGTACATTTTACATGGAGGAAAAGAAAAAAGCCAAGTATTGCTGCTGTTTTGCCATGGCTCCTGAAGTCAAAAACCAAACCAAACCAAGCCAAACAGAAACAGAAGACAATAATCTTGACTCCAGCCTCATGGCTACTAAAATTAAGGTGGGAACCAGCAGCACAGACATTACCTGGGATCTCTCAAATGCAGAAAACTGGATCCCACTTCAGGACTACCAAATGAATTAGTACTTGCATTCTAGCAAAATCTCTAGGTGACTGAATTACTTTCAAAAGTGTGAGTGTGGAGGAATTAGTAATACATAGCTAAAATCAGGTTTGCAAGAAGCAAGCAGAGGACAGAAGTTAAGTAAAAAGTCTCTATTGAGGGGCTGGCAGCATGGTGTAGCAAATTGAGGTCTCCCCTATGGTGCTGGTATTAACTACAGGCATCAGATTGAACCCCAGCTACTTGACTTCTAATCCAGCTTCCAGCTAATGTGCCTGGGAAAGTGCTTGGCCACACAAGGGAGACCAGCTAGAAGCTCCTGGCTCCTGGCTTTGAGCCGACCCAGCTCCAGACTTTGTGGCCATTTGGAGAGTGAACCAGCAGAGGGAAGACCTTTGTGTGTCTCCCTGTTTCTCTTAACTTTGCCTTTCAAGTAAAAACAAATGAATCTTAAAAAAAAGTGTAGAAGAAGATCTCCATCTCCTTTTTCTCTAACTGTGCCTTATAAATCTTTTTTTTCCCCCTAAAGACTTTATTAGGGTTGGGGCAGGAAGGGCATTAGAGGTTTCAAGGGTACAAAATTTCACTCATGAAAAATACATTTTTTGAGATCAATTGATCAGAGTAACTAGCCAGTAATAACATGTATTTTAAAATGAGATTAAAAATCTCAAATTAAACTGACAGAGATGCCCGTAGATCTACTGTAAGCATTTCTTGGAGCACACATGGATCAACACATCACTGTGTTCCATAAATGTACATAATCATGATATGTTAAAGGCATTACCACTAAGTCTTTATCTAAAGATCATTAATGCAAGAGAAAAACAACTTTATCTTTAAATTCATCAAGTCACTGGTCATTTTCCTTGCACTGAAATACAATTTTTTTTTTAAAGATTTCTTTACTTTTATTTGAAAGGCAGATTTACAGAGAAAGATATTCCTTTCACTGGTTCATTCCAAGTGGGCCCACTGCACAATGCCTGGAGCTGAGCCAATCTGAAGCCAGGAGCCAGGTGCTTCTTCCAGGTCTCCCACATGGGTGCCGGGTCCCAAAGCTTTGGGTCGTCCTTGACTGCCTTCCCAGGCCACAGGCAGGGAGCTGGATGGGAAGCGGGGCTGCCGGGATTAGAACCGGCGCCCATATGGGATCCTGGGCGTGCAAGGTGAGGACCTTAACCACTATGCTATTGTGCCGGACCCTGAAATACAATCCTTAAAGCAATAATTTATTTAGGGGCCAGCGGTGTGGTGTGGCCTGTGAAGCTGACATCCTCTGTGGGTGCAGGTTCAAGTTCCTGCTGCTTCATTTCCTGTCCAGCTCCCTGCCTATGGCCTGGGGAAGCAGCAGAGGATGGCCTCAGTCCTCATGGCCCTGCAACCTTCTGGAGGCTCCTGGCTTTGGACTGTCCCAGCTCTGCTACTAGTGCCCATTTGGGGAATAAGCCCATCTCTGTTTCTCCTTCTCTCTCTGTAAGGTCTGCTTTTCAAATCAAAATAAATAAAAAATAAAAATAAAGTGATATATAGTCAGAGTGGGCCATGTCAAACCCAGAAGACCTTCCTGGTCTCTAATGGGGGTGGCAGGGGCCCACATCCTTGAGCCATCATCTGCATCTTTTCCAGTGCATTAGCAGGAAACTGGACTGTAAGCTCAGCAGCAGGGTCTGCTGGTGTTTCATGGGGCGGCTTAACTTAATGCAGCACAATGCTGGCCCTTATTTTCAAAGCTGTTCCAGTGCTGGTATGTATTAATAAGGAAAATCATTAGCAGCAATATTATTAATCTCTCTACATAAATTTGTTTTCAAAGGTTATTGATTTTTATTGGAAAGACAGATTTATACAGAGAAGGAGCTGCAGAAAGCGCCTCCTTCTACCAGTTCACTCCCTGGATGGCTGCAATGGCCAGAATTGAGTCGTTTTGGAGCCAGGAGCTTCTTCTGGTTCTCCCACATGTGTGTAGGGTTCCAAGGCTTTGGACCATCCTCTACTGCTTTTCCAGGCAACAAACAGGGATCTGAATGGGAAGTGGAGCACTGGGACCTGAGCTAGCTGGTAAGCATATAGGATCTCGGCGCTTGCAGGGGGAGGATTAGCCAATTGAGCCATTGTGTCAGGCACCTCTTTCCCATTGTCCCCCTGTCCCATATTCTTTCTTACTATGCTTTTTTATTCTCCTGACAAGTGATCTCTAACTAGGCATCTTGAAGAAAGGTCTTTAGAAATGACTCTGAACTACAATTATCTTAGCCAGACCTGGACTTTGGAGTAATAACAACTTCACTGAAGTACAGTGTACACGTTAGGTTACTAATATTTTTTGGCATTTCCAATAAACTCACCATTTTTGAAGGGTAGTCCTTAGGAACTCCTTTAACTGGACTGCCAAACACTCTTCTACCATTGATAAATGCTTTCATTATAAAATTTGTCACTAAGAAGAAAATAGTTGAGAGGCTGATCAGATGAAATAAAAGGAAAAGAGACTATGTCAAAGCTGCAAAGTAACTTACTTTTTCTTGATAAACCAGCTCCAAGATTATGATTCAAATCAAATGGGTCTAAGTAAAGAAAATTAAGAATAAGATTATTAAATAGAAAATATCATTGTGATTTACATCCAATAAGTGCTGCCCATATAATAAGAACAAAGTATCAAATATTTGGCTTATCATGAATAAAAGCATTAAATGGCTGGCTTTTCAGTGGCCTTCAAATCTATAATAGAGCTAAATATCCTACACTTTCAACTATGAGACTGGGATATTTCCAAAAGTGTTTATCATGACAGTGATTTTTATTTAAATTTGTATAAAATACCTAATATTGTAAGCATCTGCCTAAGTTTGAACAAAATACTATTTGAAGACACACTAGTTGAATATTTTCTAATGATGCGAGCTTGGCTTATATATAAATCACAAATATGTTTAAACATTTTAACAGAGTGTTCCTGATAAGCAATAAGTCTCTTTAAGATCATGTTAGGGGTTGGCATCGTAGCAGATAAAGATGCCTCTTGCAATTCTAGAATCGCATATCTGATCCAGCTCCTCACTTATGTGAGGAGAGCAGGGGACATGGGTCCAAGGACTTGGGCCCTTGAAACCCACACAAGAGATCCATCCAGTAGAAGGCTCCTGGCTTCAGCCAGGACCTGCCTGGGTCGTCATGGTCACTTAGGGAGTGAATCAGTAGATGGAAGATCTCTTTGTCTCTCCCTTTCTTTGCAATTCTGCATTTCAAATATTTTTATAGGATCACTTCAGAGAATAATTCATTTCAGTTTTCAAAAAAACATACAAGCACAGACATCTGGTTCCAATGGCATGCCAACTCAATCTCAGCATACCATCCCAGCAAAAGCTTCATATAAAGACTTCCATATAATCTGTTATAAAAGATTTTTTGTGTTTTTTTTTTTTTTTAATCTGAAAGGCAGAGTTACAGAGTAAAAGAGACAGAGAGAAATAGAGACTCTCTCCCCCACTGGTCCACTCCTCAAATGGCCTTGACAGCTGGAGCTGAGATGATCCTAAGCCAGGATCCAGGAACTCTTCCAGTAACTGGGTGCAGGGCTAAAGGACTTGAGCCACCCTCCCTAGAGGCTATAAACAGGGAGCTGGAAACAAACTGGTACCTATATGGGATGCTGGAGACACATACAAATGCTTAGCCTACTATGCCAAGGTGCCAGTCCCCCCATAGAATCTTAATTCTAAGACAGCTATAGATATAATCTACTATGGGATATTTGTTAGATGATTTACACAGTGGTGGGAATGATGTCCAACATGTATATTCAGCATAAATAAACTATAAAATAATGGTATAAAAATTTCTTAACCAAATACTACTTTAAAGGTAATTTACTCTATATACATGATTCTTAATTTATACATCATATGTAGACATTTAACTAGTTCCTTCATAAGCCTCAAAAAAATATTAACCAAATTAAAGAAAAAAAAAATGAGGCACTGTCATTATGGTAATGTGGGTTAAGCTGTTGCCCACAATGCATGTTGAAGTTCCAGCGGCTCATTTTCTGTTCCAGTCCCTTGCTTATGTGGTCTAGGACAGCAACACAAGATGCCCGTTTACTTGGTCCCTTGCCACCCAGATGAAATTCTTGGCTCCTATGTTTGGCTTGGTCCCGCCCCCAACAAAAGTCCTATTATACTAACGCTGCCTTAATTCCAATGTCACAAGTTATTTTCCTGTGCAGATTCACAAACAGTAACAGATGGTCTTGATGAACACAGACTCTCTCCTGAGAGGTCCCTCATGAGAGAATCAGTGTTGAGGTTGGAGACAGGTGAATTGGCCTGATATCGACAACAATGGGAACTGCCACAGCTGGCATCCTGCACGCTAGCTGGTGGCTCTCCGAGAACAACTTTGTACAAGAGGAAGAATGATGCCCTCCCAGTTCAACTCTATATTCTAAATACTTGATTTTATTTGTACCTTCAATTACAATATATTTTGAGGTCCACTGTTTCTTAAAAGTCGTAAGCAGACTTTTCCTCCTGATGCTAATAACATGTTCTTTAAAATCAAATTCTTCTGTGTAGAAACGAAGAAGTCCCAGCCATAACTGCCCGACAGATTCTGTATTTTTTCCATACTCTGGCCAGTAGGCAGGCTGGAAACAGAAGGGAACAAGAAATATCATGCTCTGTGTAAAGTGAATACCAACTATTCATTTGTTGTTTTAGGGAGCAAATTCACTCTTCTGATTAAATAAAACACACAAAAAATATAAATACACAAATTTTTTCACATATAAAAGTAGCTTGCAAGAATATTAATCTCTATGATTTAAGAGACAGGGACAGCTCAGTCTGCAATATTAAATATTAGAATGTGCTAGTGGGGGAAGCTGGAAACAAACTCGATGATCCTTGGCAATCGCACAGTGTACTAGGTGACTGTATTTCAGTGGAAGTCCTCGCAAATTTGTAGTACAAAAAGCGGAGAGCAGACAGTTCATTCATGTAGAATAAGTTACCCAATCACTTAGAGTCAGTGAATACTACAAAAATACTAAATATAGTCCTTAGAAACTCACCTGGTTTAATAAAACTATTTTCACTTCAAAGCAAGCAAACACCTGTAAATGCTAGTTTGCTGCTAATAAATATATATTTATACCACATGGCCATTTATACTATAGCATAGTACAGCTAACTTTTAGTCAACGATGCAGGAAACTCTTTACTCTTAAGATACGTACCAGATCATATATTTGATCAAAAAAATATATATTCCAGCCATCCACAAGTATTTCCGGTTTCTTTTCACCTTTGTAGATCTGAAATTAATTTTTGAGGCTATCAGTATGGATTACAAACTCAATATATTAATACAGAAACTTACAGGAAAACAGTTAAAATTCAATTTTGAGGGATTTCTTTCAGTTATACCTCTTGAAGGACAGGAATGACTGGTGGATTCCGCTGCTGGAGAAAGTACAGCACCATGAGCGTGTAGGCGTACGATGATAAGCTGCCTCTAGATGCGTCACCAATGTCACACATCTAGAGGGGAAGAAAATGAAGAACAGGAAACATCATCGCTGCTTCCTGATAAATTTGCAGCTATTCTATTATTGCTAAAACTAAGGTGCTTATTTTTTGGGAGTACTATAAAAGTACAATTTTCAAAGGCTAAGGTAAACCAGTGAAACAAACTCAGAAAACTAGTAGACTATTAGGTGCAAGCAAGGTCATGTTTGTCGCCATCCTGCAGCAATGGACTTGGTGCATGGAGCCAATTTAACATGCGTGGACTCTGACTGATGATGGAAAGCCGAAGTTTATTAGTGGCATCAGACTTTATGCACCGAGAGTCTTATAGGATGATAAAGAAGGAGGTACTGAGCTTAACAACAAAACCAATCAACTGCTTATATACTTTTGTTTGGAACTCTTTTTTTGTTTATCCCATCAAGTGTTCTCATTCACATGCTGTCCACTCAACTGTTCTCAGACAAATGATATCCTTCTAGTTATACAAATGGCACCCACTCAGTTGTTTTCATACAAATATTATCCTATCAATTGTAATCCTGTGCTTGCTGACCTTGCAGGGTCACAATGTCCTTCTACAACCATGTAAAATTCAAAACAATAAAAACAGAAGCTGCTGCCTAAGCCTTCCCAAACAATTACAGCATACATAGGAGATGCTGCTGTTCCTTAAAAATATTAGACATATGTTTATAATAAGATTTTAAGACATGATCAAATTTCATGGTAAATCCCAACACTAATCGTACTCACTTACCTTTGTAAACACTTTCATGGTATAGCACAGATATTTCACTCTGGGATCAATGTCTGAATAAGCAGATAAAAGCCTTGTGTTATGAAGGGCCTGTTAAAAGGGAAATTACACTATAAGGCTATTAATTACATGAAAAGGTCTGAAGCTGGAATATTCTGATTCACTTTAGGCAGAAGACATTTTTCACCAAAGAGAAGTGTCATTTACTAGATAATACTGAAGACTTAACAACTGACCTCATGACTTCTACTTCATATACATATTCTCACTGTAAGCATCTAGAAAATACAGGCTATTAAACAGGGCCAGAGGGGGCTCATAAAACCTTAAAGCAAGCAGGATATAAGACCAAAAGGAGCTGGGCGCCCCTGACTACATATACTGTGCCCACTTCAATGTATAAAGGTATCTGCAAAGATAACCTTTACTCCATATTACAGATTCAGGCAAAACAATGAGCCTCCCCTTGGTCTCATTTTCAATGGATACTAATACTAATTGCATTCCCTCTGTATCCCCAGACCCAGAGCAGCAGTCAGCACATATCCAGCACTGAGAAGAAACTCTACAAACAAGAATTAAGATGCCTGATTCTAGAATCACAAATAAATTAAAAGCTTTAGAAATAGAATGAAAAACTGAGAAACAGAGGAATTCATTCCCCCTTAATCTCCCTAAAGATCATCTTACCAATGTGTTATACAAACTGATATCCACTTCTAAGCCACTTCTCAAATGGAAGAATTTCACAATTGGCACCTTCGCTGTTGTAATAGGCAAGATGTTTCTTAGACCTAGGTTGAGAAATAAGAGTATCATTACCTACAGCAGATAGGGACAGATGTGGCCCAGATGTTAATGTTCCAATAAAACATGAAAAAGCCTAACTTGGGTTTGTTCCACTGCATTCGTTATTAACAAATAACCAGGAAGACTTTTTAGCCAAAGTTTATACTTGGTTAAATACACTGATATTCTAACTGAAAGGATAAAAGCAGCAGCAGGTGCCCTCACTGGATAACATGTGTGCATTCAAGGCTGTCACCCAGATAAACACAAGACAGCACAACCATGGGTCTGCACTATGTGTCTCTTCCTATTCTTCTGTTAGGTCATTGACAAAAAAAAGCCTTTCAAACAATCACCTGAGTCCTCAAAAACTAATCACCATGGAGTTACAAATACCTGGCCCATTATCTGCAGTTTTCCTAGTGCATTAACAGGAAGCTGGATCAGAAGTGGAATAGTCATGTCACAATCGGGGAACTAACTCAGTGTACCTGAATGCCAGCCTGTTCCCTATCCACACCCAATGTTTGCTGATTGCATGAAAAAGGTCACATGACTGGTCTTTATCATGTGATGTTTGCAAGATGAAATTACCGAATAATACATTTCTTAGAGTATCTTTAAGTGCATCCAACTGTATTACTCTTAATCTATTCTATTCTCATATTATAGAAAAGCAACTTACTGTGTATGACTCAAATAAAATAGATAAATCTTAAAGATATTAAGTTGTAAACTTAGCCCCATAATGAAATTCTTGTTTCATGTAATGTACATTCCATTAGGTATTTAGGGGATAGCAATATGATGTCTACAGGTTAACCTCAAATAGTACAAAATAAGCTGAGAACAAGAAAAGAAGTAATACTAAATCAAATGTAAAATAACCATTGGTGGGTCTGAAGCAAGGCACATAGAGGCAATTTTTGCCACTTCATGTTAGAAGCCATTTATTTCAATCCATCTCTGGGGTTGGCATCCCATATGGTTGCTGGTTTGAGTTCTAGCTGCTCCACTTTTCATTAGCTCTATGCTAATGCACCTGGGAAAGCAGTGGAAAATGGTCCAAGTATTTGGGCTCCTGTACCCACATGGGAGACCAAGAAGCATCTCCAAGCTCCTAGCTTTAGTCTGGCCCAGGGCCGGCCACTGGGACCATTTTGGGCTGTGAAATCAGTGGGTAGAAGATTGCCCCTGCAACTCTACCATTCAAATAAACTTAAAAAAAACAAAAACAAAAACAAAAACCAAAGAGCTAAAAAAAGTCTTTCTGCACTAAAAGCAATTTAGCAACTGTAGAGACTTAATGTTTCAGTTTCTTTGTACAACCTTAAAAACATTAACACCAATCTCCTATGGTATTTGGAGATAAGAAAAACTGCCTACTTCAATGAAAAAAGGAAATTACATCAACATACATTGAAAAGACCATACTAAACAAATAAACAAAAAAGCCTTAATGATGCAGGATTACTGTCATTGAGAATGAAATGAAAATGTGAAAATTCAGCTTTTCCCCTACAATGTAAATGTGGTATCCCCTTTAACTCCTAGCAATGGGAGACATAGAGAAAAGGGACACTCAAAGTGTACCCTCATGTCTGTGTCTATGCTGTGAACCTATAGAATCTATTCTTGACTACAAGAATGCTTTTCAAAGACCAATCACGCACACTGAGTTCTGAGAGAATAGAGACCAGCTCCTGTTCACCTTCATTCTCAGCTTTTACCAAAGAAGTTTCCTGATAATTTCACTGTTAACAGCATCCACAGCAAAACAATGTACTCACAGCATTTTGGCTCTGTGTAGGATTTAGACTACGTGTTTTACAGCTATGAGCACTGGAGAAATGACGCAGTGGAGCTTTCTCTAATTTTGATGAGATGAGATCTAAGCAGTGACCTGTCTGGGGCCACATCCCACTTAGTGAAGCACAATGCTGTAAACACAACCCTAAATCAGGATCTAAGCTCTATTACACTTCACATCATTGTCAGCAACTACCACATCTTCATTTATATTACTTCAATTAAGCAAAATCATCTGCAAATTCTTCTATCTGGCACATGCGTTGTCTTGAAATAAAACTAAGTGAGGCAACAAATACATACACACTGTCACCAACTCTTCTGTTTCATGCTTGGCAATATTCAGACAAGCACCGATTTTGTAAATATTCTTAAATGAGCCACTACACTGCTTCACTGATGTTAGTAAATTCTGCATTTGAAAAACACTACATAAGGCAAAGATGTGTAGACAAAGTTTGTTGCAGCGGTACCTGAATGTTTCCTGAGGACTTTTGCCAGTTCTTCAATAGTTCTCACACAGTCCAACCCCTACAGCAAAGACAACACAGGGCAGTCAGAACCGGAAGACAGGCTCCTACACAGGGTTCCATTTCACCTTCAGAAATAATAAAATTAATTTCAACTTATTCTGATTAGATTTTCCCTTTTAGTCAAGTATGAGACAGCATTCAGAACAACTACCCTAAAGATGCAAAAAGCAATAAATACTGTATTTCCCAAATTGCTTTTGAAAGTCAAATACAGGCTAAGATCAGGAAACCTTTGGACCAAGAGCTTTCAGAAAAGTCATTGAAGTATGGACTGGATTTTCTATTTTTCCTCCCTCTATGTAATTAGAATACTCAGAAGTGTATGAAGTGCTAAAACATGCAAAGTGGGGGCTTCCATGTCCTATCTTCATTTGGGTAGAGCTTCATCATAGTTTAATTAATGGTTGACAAATCGCCAAGCAGAGTAATTAAGGTAATTATTTTCCCATAGGACTAGTCAATGTACTTAAGGGGGCCTACACTGTGGCTCAGTGGGGAAAACCATGCTACCTAGGAAGCTGGCATACTGTATGGATGTTGGTTCAAGTCCTGGCTGCTCTGCTTCTAATTCAGCTTCCTGCTAAATGCGAAAAGATGGCCCAAATATTTGAACTTCTATACCCTGTGAGAGAAAAGGACAAAGCTGCTGGTTCCTGACTTTGTCCTGGCCTATCCCAACTACTCAAGCCACCTGGGGAGTGATCAACAGACAGATAATTTCTCTGCCTCTCTCTAATTCTGACTTCCAAACAAATAAAATAAATCCGTAAAACAAAGAGTACTTAAAAAGAAATTCTAGCCAATCTTAATCTACATATACCCTTTGGGTATACTACATACATGTTACTATGCATATCTGAAATTTAATTTTTGGATAAGTTCTCAAAACTAGCTTCTAAGTCATATAAAGATGTGTAAGAGGGTCCTTTCATACAGCACACTCAATCTGGCTCATAGATCACTTTTGGATCTTTTCTCAAATCAGATACATGCTCAAAGTGCAAACAATTGAAACCAAGAAACAAAAACGGTGTTAAACACCTGCAGTATTTGTCATTGGGATATGCAACATCTGGACTGTTGTTAAAAAAATAAGGACTCAGCACTTCTCAGGCTTTAGATATTTACACAGGACTTTATAAACATTCATGTTTTCACAAGCTGATTCCATTTTATGGGCCTTAAGATCTGTTACAACCACTCAACTATCAAGTTATAGAGTGAAAGCAAAGGCAATACACAAATGAATAAGTGTAATTCTGCTGCAAGAGGACTATTTACAAAAACACACAGCAAGCCAAATTTAGCTCAGGGGGTTTAGTTTGCTAATTACTGACATACACGATCTAAGCTGATATAAACAACAATCCTCAAGGTAGAGGGACAGATATTATATTTAGCAGTTTATTTGCCAAAGACCACATGTATATTAATCAAATCATATTCATCTGAAATACAAATTCTCTTGACTATAAAATTAGCACTTATCACGTACCAGATGGCCTCCTAGCAGAAAATGTCAGATAACCTTCTGTGGATGTGTGCATCCACATCAACTTAGTGACTAGGCCATTGGGACACTGGAGAAGCCGACTGGGCTGTGAAGAATCCCCACTTTCATTTGTAATACAAATGGAATAACAGGGTCAAAGTATACACCTTTCCAATCTTTACATTCACCTCTATACTTCTCACTGCATTTGGAGAGGTGTACCAAGTGGTACACTCCAAACAGTATGTCTGATAAAATAAAATGCTAAGCTGCATTATTAGTCAAGTGTGGTCGAATCATAGTGTAACAGAAAAGTCAAATTTTATGGCCACGTACCTCAGCAGTTTCATGTCCATTGATTGTCATACAGATGTCAAGGTCACTCTGTTTGAACCCAAATCCATTTTTGGAGGAACCAAACAAGCTCAATTTAGTTCCTGTTGAGGATATATGAAAAGTAATAACTAATGACCTGACTGGATACATTCAATTCTTTAAAAAAATCAAAATGGCCCTCTCATGACTGAAAAACACCCAGTTGATGACAATCCTAATTTCATCATAATGTGAAGGATATAATTAGCCAGTCATTTATTATAAAAATTTTCTCCCTCAAAGTCTACTTTGAATAAATACAACCTGTATATGGGATGGATTACCAAGTGTCATTTTATTCTTAATTGTTGTAGGGACATTTCAAGGTAAGGGTAGATTGTCTCAACACATCTAGTTAATAATGTGGGATGGGATTACTACTTTCAGTGTAAATAAATGCACTTTCTAGAGGTGAATTTTGACTGTAGTCACAACACTACATGAAATCTACATGTGGTATCTATTAGGACAAATCTCCATTATTATGTTTTTTTTTTCTATTGGTAAACAAGGATCTGGTGGACTAAAAGCAGTCTTAGGGATACCACAAAATAACTAAGACACTGGCTCCTGCCACCAACATGCCAGGATAAAACTATTCTTAAAACAAAGGTGTTTAACACATGGCCTCATTCAGAGACAAGCCATGATATCTTTCTTTAAGTCAAAGGAAGTATTTACCTGGGAAGTCTTGCCTTATGAAACTTTCTAGGTTTTGTCGAATATGCTCACGAGTTTGATCTTCTGAAATAGTTGGAGAAAAATCCTCTGTTCAAAACAGACATGTTGAAAAAAAAAAAAGACTGTCAACACTGAAAACACTGAGAAATCTGTTTAGAAAATAAAAGTTAACAGCTCAGAAAACCCTCCATCTATCTTCTCAGAAAGCATCATTAATGTAAGACTTAGAAAAAGGAGTTCATCAAAGGATCTGATCTTGAAAGACACTAATTTGTCATGTTTTTAAAGATTTATTTATTTTTATTACAAAGTCAGATATACAGAGAGGAGAGACAGAAAGATCTTCCGTCCAATGATTCACTCCCCAAGTGACCGCAATGGCTGGTGCTGCGCCGATTTGAAGCTGGGAACCAGGAACCTCTACCAGGTCTCCCATGTGGGTGCAGGGTCCCAAAGCTTTGGGCTGTCCTCGACTGCTTTCCCAGGCCACAAGCAGGGAGCTGGATGGGAAGTGGAGCTGCTGGGAATAGAACCGGTGCCCATATGAGATCCTGGTGCGTTCAAGGCAAGGACTTAAGCCACTAGGCCATGCCACTGGGCCCAGACAGTAATTTGAATAGGGAAGCTGCACCAGGGTTTCAGAGAGCTGGGCTCTAGAAAGGGTCCTGCAGGGAAGCCTCCCAGAACATGAATCTCAAAGACAAGAACATTTACATGTATCTCTGCTCTAAGGAGAACCTGTTTGCCTTGGTCTTTTCTTAGTTATTAATCCCCAAAAATGTTTCAGAGAAATTATTGTTTAAGAAGTATCTTCTGGTACACAAGATGCAGGGACAATAAAACATTAGGTTCTTCCATTCCAAGCAGTCAAATGAACGTCAGAATTGGGGTTACAAGTTTTTTTATTGCAAAACTTTCAAAACCCTCTAAATCAATGCTTCCCAAAATTGGTATTCTTTTAAGGGCTGTTATGTAGTCTGCTAATAAGTACAAATTACCTCTAAGCAAAAGAGAGGTGAGTAGAGTTACTTCTTACTTAGCCCAGAATACTCCTGCTCATTGAATACTATTAACTGCGTTTAGATAAGTATCTCAACAGAAAACAAGTTCCTGTTCAGTACTTATTCTTAAAAGAGCCTCCTTTCTCTCCTTTTCTTATTTATCGTATATCCAAAAAGAAACTATGACATGGAACACTGCAGACAGAACAAAGAATGAGGCTTAAGAAAAGGCTTAAAATCTCAGCAGGGACTAGAAGGTAGCAGGACAGTAATTCCAAACACTGCTAAAGAAATGTTCACTTAGTATGACAAATAAAAGAAATGTGAATAACTTACTATAACACTGGATGCAAACTTGATCCAAGATATTTAAAAACTTGGGTGTCAACGGTGGCAAAGGTTCCAGCTGGATTCTTTTGAAGTCCTCAGGACAGTCCTTCTTGAGATGACCCTCCCGTTTACATAAGCTGCATACTACCATGGGAGACTGTAAGAACAGCACAACAAAACATGATTTAAGTGTAACGTTAGGGGTGGGTGCTTGGCCTAGCAGTTCAAGGCAGCATTATAAGCCAATATTGTGAAATAAGAAGTTAAGACACTAGCTGTATTACTGTCATCCCATGTGGAGACCAGTTTGAGTTTTGAATTCTCCAATCTGGTTCAAGTGGCTGGGTCCCTTGTCACCCATTTGGGGAGACCTGGATGAGGCTCTGGGCTCCTGGCTTCAATCTGGCTCTGGCCTGGCTATTACAGCCATCTGGGGACGTGAACCACTAGATGGACCACTGATCAATCTCCCTCTCTGTCCCCACTCGCTGCAATTCTGACTTTCCATAAATAAATAAATCTTTAAAAAGACGGCATTACATATCAAAGAACTTCCTTCATTTCTAGCTCCAGTTCCCGAGTCCAATTTGTTCATTTAACTCCTAGAAGTTTCTAGGGATGGTTCAAATAACTGGAGTTCCGCCTCAAATGTATCAAACTTTGATCGCATTCCTTGTTCCCAACTTCACTCCTAGCCCAGCCCTGGCCACTTGCAGGAATTTAGGATGTGAAATTCAGTACACAGGAGCTCTTTCTCTGTCTATATGTCTCTTTGCCTTTTGCATTAAAAAAAAAAAAAAGAAGTTGCCAAATAAAGGGTCCGGAATCTTTTCTTTAGAAATACACAGTATGCTTTTCACTTTCCCAAGGAACGAAATATGGTAGTTCAGCCATTCTAAACTATCTAAATGGTGGAGACCATCACGTTATCCATTGGAAAAAAACCAGTTTTACTACTAACATTCTCTTCCCCATACAAACTCCACTGGTCTTAAAGAGGGAAGTGGACCAAATAGTGGTAGTGGAATATAACAATAACTTGATAATGACAACTAATGCAGGTATCATTCTAGTATGGAAGAATCATCACTGAAACAAACCTGCTTAGTCTCCTTAGCCCGTGCCTACTAGGGGCAATTCTTACCTTGCCTTTGGTGAAGATAAGCTTACTAAATTCATAGAAGAAATTAGACGGATCCACAGGTGAATTTTCCTCACATATAATTTCCTCTTTAAGAGTTATTTTATTAAATTCTACGAGTAGAGCACTGTCTACATGTTTTTCACACTCCTTGGCAGGCTCCTCTACTACATAATTGTTTTCAGACAGGGCATCTTCATCCCCAGATCCGGTATAGGTGTTATCTAGCCCATCTTCTTGAACAAGGTCACCTCTGCCTTCCTGCTGGTTAATGGAAAGCCTAGGTTCTTCCTCCTCTTCCTCCTCTTCCTCCTCTTCTTCATCAGAGCAGGTGGTTTCCAATGTCTGGTCCTGCACTGAAGGAGCAAAGTGGTTTAGAGGGTCTTCTAGTTCTTCAGTGCCTTCTATGCTTTCTTCATCAACATTAGACTTGCCAGACAGAGTAGTGAGTCCATCATCCTCTTTAGCCACAGGATCCTGAAGGCCGTTGAGATCCAAACAGCTGTCTGTCTCATCCTTGCATGTGCTGCCACAGCTGACGAGCTCTCTGTGCTTACATCTGCTTAACGTTCCATCTTGGGCAGTCGTGGCATGCCAGTCCTCCCTGACCATCGTCTCTGTCTCACTGTTACTTTCTGTTTTTTGATGGTGCACACTGAGATCCTCAAAATCATCACCATTGACTTGTACCTGCACACAGCCTGCGTTCTGTGGGTGGACCCTGACGGGTACCTTTCCAGTCTCTTCAGTTGGTGGACTTCCAAAGCTTTCACCAGTCTTTCTCTGAGTACGAGTAAATGCCTGTGCCTTGCAGGTATTTTTAGATGAGCTGGTAGTAGCACCAGGATCTTGAGGCAAAACTGAGTTTTTTAATTTATCATCTTTCTTTTGAACATCTGCATCATGATTGATTACTTCTTTAGAATGTTCTGAAATACATGTAACTGAGCTCAGAGGTTTTGACAGGCTGGACTTAACTTTGTGTGGAATAGCAAAATACTTATATGTCGTCCTTAAACAATGAAGTATGTAATCAAACACAGGTTGATTATTTAAGGTCCTTGCCACATTTCTTTTAACAGAGTAAGGATCTGTAACAACAACAAAAATTCATGATTTTATACATTTTACTTCAGGCTTAAAAAATCAGCCTGCTGTACATAAAAACAGATAACAAATAAGCAACAATAAAATGTATCACATTTCTTAGATGCTTTTTACAAAAAAAAAAAATGAAAACAAAACAAAACAAACAAAACTGGGGGCAGGATCCGAGAAGATCCAGTTTAAGACCAAAAAAGCAGTGTCTGCGGAGACATGTGCTCTATAAAGAGAGCCTGCTCTGTTGAGAACCAGTACCCGTTCCCTATTTGCTCTGTGACTACAGGGAGAGGAAAGATGTCACCACGGTGGCTCTCATGCCCTTGGCAAGTCAGGTTTTCCCGACAGGCTCTGTTGCTGAGTGCTTTGACTCCCCACTCAGCCAGGCCCTGAGGTTGGTAGAGCTTACCTCCACTCTTCTGCCCTGGGAAGCCCCATCACTGAATTAGTTGGACTGAGTTTCAGGGGCGAGAAGGAGGCACCAGGAGAATACACCACTTCTCTCACTCTTTTCTCCTCCCCTAGAACTCCAGCAGGTTAGGCAATTGGCCAGAAGAGCTGAGCCAGAGAAAATGCAGGGGAGGGTTTAAAAATGTGAGATCCCCATAACTGCACACAGAATTTATGCAAAATGCAAAAATAAGGGAAAAAAAACACCCTCTTTATGTAACGTATGGCTTGAAAAAAAAATCAAGGAAAAATAAGAGAATTCCTTTTAGGAGTTTTTTTTTTTTTAAAGGAAGAAAATTAAGATTTCCGGGGGGGGGGGGGAGAGGGGCTATCTCCTGACTTCGCAGAGGACTAGCCCATTCGGTGACCCTACAGGGCACACCAGTATGTTTCTCATAGGATGGCTTCAGTTAAGCAAGCGTTCCCCAGAAAAAAAAAAAAGGTTTTTAGGGAGGAAGCTCTGGATGTTTCTGCAGATATCCCAACCTCAACTATCCTGTTCCTTCTATCAGATAGTTATGTTATCAAGAGCAGAATTTTTCAAGAGAAAAAACTGTTCTTATCTCTGTAAAACTAAACATCATCAACAGCAACCAATAGAAAGATGGAATTTAAAAAAACAGAAGTGAACAGCAAAGAGGAAAGGGAGACTCACATAACCAGGGCAAAAAAAACTGTTTAAGATGTCAAGCCATTCACAAAGACTGCACGGTTTCAACCAGCCATTACTCCACCCGTTTTACTTCAACATGTGAAACCCCAGGTAAATGAACACTTTGGTCTCTTGGAATTCCCCATGTAATACATCCAAGATTCTAACTATCCATTTCACTTGTAAGGATTGGGGCATGCTCTAAAAGTAAGAGCTGAAAAGAGACTGAAATAAAAAGCATGCTGTTAGACTGGGACCCTTTAAAAAAAAAAAGGAATTAAAGACAACACAGTTTGAGATACCTTCAATGGCAATGCGCTTTTTGGGCCAATCCTTGGATTCCCGAGACACAGACTCTTTGACACGGATACTAATCACTAAATCAGCCAAATTAAATTCTAAAGCATAGAATCGCAGCAATTCCACCCAGAGCTGCCCAACTGGTACTGAAGGCTGTTGTTTTTTATCAAATATTAATGACACCTATTAACAGCAAAGAAAAACAGAGATTATTTTCGATGTCATCACAATCTAAAAAATCAGAGTTCACTCAATCATCAAAATAATAAATCTGAAAGATCTTAGCAAAGTCACACATTCTAGAATCTTTCTAGATAAACCAAATTGCAAGTTCTATTTTGTTTGTGGTATCGTAATAGCATCATTTGAATGTACTCTTGGGATTGTAATATCTTAAAATATAGTCATAAGAGAGAGGACCAGTTCTATTTCAACAACAGTCAGAATCTTAAAATCTGAGTAACAGGTGGAGAAGACTGCGCATGGGTTGCTAACACTAACATTCTCAGTAGTGTTAGTAAACTGTTCTTCCTGCTCCAGATGGCATCGTTTTAGGTAGATGCACACAGAAATGGACAGGGCTTAAGGCACAGAGAATAAAGAAACACTCTTTCCATTGCCTTGATAAATACACATAAGCACAATGAATATATTAATGGAAATTCAGTTTAATGTCAAATAACTCTTACTATCAGAAATTTGATACAAGTTTTATAGTCACAGACTTTATATTTGAACATATTTCACAAAATATATTAGGAAATAATAGGATCTAGGACAGAAAAAAAGGAGAGAGGTGGTCAAATAAAGATTCTGCTTTTCCAGAGCTCTTCATCGCTGTGTGACTTTACTCTTACGGTTCAACAGAGCATAATGGCTTTGGAACGTTTTTGGACAAGCTTAGGTCTGACACAAAATCTGCCACTTATCAGCCATGTATGGTCTTGGATAAGGTCTACCAGCTATCTAAGCCCTGGTTTCCTCATCTGACAAATGGGGATAACAGTACCCACCTCATAGGGTTGTTGGGAGGGCTGAGTGACATAGTGTCTGTAAAGTGCTTAGCACAGTGCCTGGCACACAGTGTTCAAAAAAAAATGGTCGCTACCATTATCTGCAGAGTAGGGATGATACCACCTATAACACAGGACAGTGAGGAGGATTACATAACAAACAAGGGAAAGAATCTGGCAGACGTGGTTGCGCTGTGTATTTTTTCACGTAGGACAGTCTTAATAGGCAGAAATCCAAATATTGCTACAACATAATGTCACAACTGTAAGATGCTCTTAAGAAATCAGCTAGTTCAACTCTCATATTTTACAAGAGAAGGAACCAAGAGCCCTCAGAGTTCTCATGACTCTGCTAGTCAGTGGCAGAATGAGAACATCTTTGGATCCAGGTAGAGTGACTTTTCACCACCATATCAAACTTCCCTAATGTTTAGGGAACCACGCAATTTCACAAGTGACAGCATGTTAATCTCTCCAAAGCACAAAAATATAAAAATACAACAGTAAATGGATTGAGCAGTAGTTTTTCTTTTGTATTATTTCTCTAGTTCACATAAAAAATGTCTTTCTGGATAGTCTACAAATTAGTGATCGCATTTTACCATACTAGCTTTAAAATAAATGGTAAGGTAGTTTGTTAATCACTAAATCTCAACCACAAAGGTCTGTCAAGTAACATAAAGTCATCTGATAGATTTATAACGTAGAACTAATTGACATGGAAATCATCTAGGTCCCAAACACCAAAACTGAGGACACAAAGAAGACCTCCAGAAACTGGGAGCTTCATGAAGTTTCACCTCTTCGTCAAGAGCATTGCCAACATTACAAAGGATTTTTAAGCATCTCACTGAAATGACTTGAAAATACTAGTATTAACATGGGATTTGACATAATGCAGCCCACAAGTGCTTAGAACATTTTCTGGCAGAATACCCTGGCTTTCAGTTAAAATTAGAACATCAGCTAATATTCACTGAGTGCTTACCACATGCATGGCACTGAGTTAAGCATTCTGTAAATCAATTACCCTGTGAGAGGGTACCAATATCATCACCATTTGCAGGAAGGAAACAGGGGCACAGAAAGTTCAAGTGTCTTGCCTAAGAACACACAGCTAGAAAATGGCAAGCTGGAAAACCAATTTACTAAGTTTTAGCTTCACAGTCTGGCTGGAATTCCTGAGACAAGGAAATAAAATAGTGCTGTTTGGAGGTAACCCCCACTTCTTCCATTAACCCTCCCAGTGGTCAAAGATTCTAGAAAAGACAGCTGAAGAATCCAAAACTCAACACTATCTCCTCACTTCCACCATGCACTGAAGAAGTGACAAGATTTGTCCATACAGAGCTGAGATTAGAACACTGGTTCCAAAGGCATTTTATGGCTCTTAGTATCATTTTACTTCAAGTAATGATGGGAAAGCATAGTTTGAAAAGAATATTATAAATTATGAGTATAATTACACTGTGCAGGTATGTTTTAAATTCTAATGGCAATTCTTCCCTTATTCCCCATCCACATCAAATACTATGACATCAGTAAACTGACTCATTATTTTTAGTAATTTAAAATAAGCTAACTTTCTTATCTATTCAGATTTCATGGTATTATGTAAGACCTAAGGACTTTGAGAATAAACAGGGCTTTATCTTAGAAGACTATTTCAAACTCTGAATGCAGAAGAAACTATAAATGATGGTTTAATGTTTTATGTTTTGTAACTTTTTTACCGTTTGTTCAAGGGACTGAACAGACAGACTACAAAGCCACAAAGTAGTTAAGGAAAGAAGACAAGAAGACTAACTGGCCATAAACTCTGTCACTGATACCTGAAACAGACAGCAACACTAACTGAGAGAGAACAGACCTGTCCCCGTTTGACTGGAACGTCCTTGGCCAAATCTTCTTTTCCTGGGTTTGTGTCCCCTGAAGCATTATCAGTATATTCCCAGCTCACAGTGTCTTTCTCAACATCTTTGAGGTTGAAGTTTCCTAGTTTGTTTAATGAGAAACCTTCAATCTAAGAAAAATCAGACACATACTATTAGAAAGCAGACAGAATTAAATAATTATATAATAATCAGAGCACAGCACTGTAAAGGAATGAAGAGTTGTCATGCTCACAATTCATTTTCTTTCTTCAGTATTTTAATTATGCTTATTTTAAATTTTTTGTCTGAAAACTCCCACATCTGCCATACAAGTCTGGTTCTGATGCTTGCTCTGTCTCTTGTGTTTTCTGCCTTTCTTATGCCTCAGGTTACTCTGCTGAGACCCAGACATTATGTACTGGGTAAAGCAGCTGAACTAAACAGGCTTGTAGGATAAGTTTTTACGTTTACCTGGCTCGGAGGTTAGGTTATGTTTACCATCTGCGGTAGGTACATAGATGTCAAGAAATTAGAATTTCCTCTGCTTCTTTTGCTTTGATCTCTCCTGTTGGGCCTGCATTTCCCTACAAAGTTCTGAAATAAAGCCCAAGACTTGTAGTTCTTTCTATAGGGAACTTTTTATACAAGAAACCTATTGATGGGAGGGTAAGATGTGAGTAGAGAGGAAACACCAGAGAATCCTAAGGTTAGGTCTGTCTGCAGGGAGCCCAGTGTTGGGGGCTATGGCCTTTCAAAGTATTTCTTAGTCTTCTTTTGCGCCACTTAGATCCAGGAAGGCTATGGGGGTGGAGCGGGATGCTTCTCTTCTCCTAGGTATACCAGGTTCCAATCAAACCCAAGATAGTTATGTATGTAAATAAATATAATAAAAGTTCTCCTTGAGGAGGCAGACTTCTGTTAAGAAAAAAAAAATGCTCTAGGATCTCATCAAAATTGTTCCTTTTCCTCTGACTCTGCAAAAAACATTACTGGCTTTCTCTCTAATCCTCACCTTCAGAATCCATGCTGGTGGGGAGGAAATTTAGGGAGTCCCTCTTAGAATGGAAATGTATAACTCTCAGGCTTTCCCAACTGTCTCCAGAAACGTGTTAAGTACACTAAATTTTCTATGTGGGTAGTGACTCCACTGGCAGGATTCTGCTTTGGGGCTTCTGTTCTGGTTAGCTTGGAGTTATGGAATTTATATGTTTTCCAACTTGGGGCAACATTTTGCCCAGTGATCTCAATTGTGTATTGGATTTCAGAACAAGTGTTGATTTTTTACTTTGTGAACTGTTTTCTTGTCCTGAGGAAGTGTGAGAACTTCAAATTGGACTGGTTCAGGAGCTAGCCAGAGACATGCCGAGTTGCACACAGAATTAAGGGTTCTATTCCTAACTTTCCTTTCTGTCTGCTTGACCCCTGTTATTTTCCGGTAGCCCTGGTTCTCTGGGCTTTTGTAAAGCTGCCTTCGGGGGGTAGGGCCATCAAGTAGTAAGCTCAATTGTACTGGTTATGTGCTCCAACTTTGGTCTGTCTGCATTTGTTCAGTCTCGAGACATTCATGTTGTTTTTGTATTCTGTACAGAGTTCATAACCTTCACCTGCAGGGGTATCATCTGGAAACTGGAATTTCTACTGAGGGAGAAATGGATCAATTTTTGTTCTCCTACCTGGTTTCAGAAGTTTCACATTATCCCACTGAGAACTCAAAATGACTAAGGCTCAGAAACTAATTAACTTGCTCAAGTGTATTACAAGGATGTTAAGTAGAAAAATCTCCACGAATTTCAGTGTTGCAAACTTACTTTTCTTTCTAGTATATTACATGGCATTCCTATAATGTGAATGACTGTTTCCTAATGACTAGGTTTATACAATACAAAGTAAGACAGACTGCAAATAATATCTACTATAAACCTAGTAAAACATTACTGAGGGGAATAAAAGATGCTGAGTAAACATGTGGGATCCTATTCATCATTCACAATGCATGACAATTACCTTCACACACATTAAGATCCAGTGACAATAAAATCGAGATTTTGACTGAGAGTCAAACGTGGGAGAGGATGGTCTCCTACATGACAAAGATGAGGATAGGACAGGGTGGCTTTGAGATAGGTCAGAGTCCCAAGGCATCATAAACTAACCTTTTGTGAGAGAAGTTAATCTGGTTTATCTCTAGTTCCCTCAGGGCCTAGTACATTATGTAGTGTAAACAGTACTTTAAAGATTGAAGGAATTCACACTTGAGATGCTTTCATACACATGCTTATAATTATAAGGATTTCAATGGATTTTCTGCAAAAATAATATATGTAAATTATGTGGCACATGAATAATTCCTTTTGCCTCACTGCTTTATATTTTTGAGTAGGTTTCTGACAGAAATCAGGAAACCAATACCTAACCAGATGAAAACACTGAAAACTGTGTATCATTTGGTTCAAGCAGTACAGTCCGCCTTTAGCCGATCCATAGAACTCAGTCCAGTGTTTACCACGTGATTGTTTCATCATGAAAGTCTGAGAAATCAAATGATATAATGAAAACGAAATCACAGGGTTTTCATGATCATTGCATTGGAAATAATGCAGCGGTCACAGGAAGGCGTATTCCTACCACACGTAAACAAATCCCCGGGGAATCACATCACCCAATTAGAAACACCTTGTTCCTGCAGCTTCATGTCAGTGACCCGTGATTACTTAGACAAGATCAGAACACATGAAAGGCAGATGTTATGCAGTCACACAGTAGTGAGCAAAACAGTATATTCCACCTGTTCCAAGGTTCTTTTAGGTAGCGCAGTCAAACTGGCTTGTTTCCATCCTACACTGCTGGATCAAAGTGAAAGGACAACTTCAAAGACTTCAAAGATTTCCAGCTGGGTCTGGTGGAAAAGATTATCAACTAAGACTTAACTCCTCTTTTTTTCTGCCAAGAAAATAGTCTGACAAAGACATCCACCTGTAGCACTGAATTTTTCCCCCCCCAATATCTTAGGCACCTTAATGTACACAGCCTACTGTTTTTGGCTTATTCTACTTCAAGCTTTATTCCTAAAACTTAGCACATAAAGTCACTGCTAATAATCAGATTAGTAAATATGAAAAGAATATGCTCTCTAACCATGTTTTCTTGATTCAAGATCACATTGTTCTCAGCTTTATTTATTTATTTTTAAAAAGATTTATTTGATCATTTTTATTGGAAAGACAGATTCACAGAGAGAAGGAGAGTCAGAGAGAAAGATCTTGCATCTTCTGATTCACTCCCCAAGTGGCCACAATGGCCAGAGCTGTGCTGGTCTGAAGCCAAAACTCAGGGGCTTGCGCTGGGTCTCACACACAGGTGCAGGATTCCAAGGCCCTAGGTTGCCCTCGACTGCTCTGCCAGGCCTAAGTAGGGAGCTGGATGGGAAATGGTGCAGCTGAGATATGAATTGGCACCCATATGGAATCCTGGCATGTGCAAGGCAAGAACTTTAGCCACTAGGCTACTACACTGGGCCCAAGAACACATTGTTCGTAAATGAGAGAGATCTTTATGCAGCAAGGAGAGAGGTAGTTAAAATATCAAGGTACTAATAGGACCTTTCCACTAAGTATAGCTTTCATAAATAAGTATTTGGCCACTATCAAGATAAGCACCTAGGGATTAAGAACAAAGATTCCAAGAAGATGAAAATAACATTATTTTTATTCTTTCAAGTAACCCTTTCTTAAATTGTATTGTTCAAACAAATCAATTAAACTTTAATTTATCCATAAAGAAAGTGTGGTCATATTACCTCAGACTAATTTACTGTAAAGATAATCCTAAACTATTTTTCAAGAGATGACTGTTAAGTGTTGCATTCTATACCTCAGGTAAAACTTTCAACTCTCATTCTTTTGTTGTACAAGTCATAGTATTTTGTTTCACAAGTTATAAAATAAAAGAAATACGGCTATTAAGTTAGTGAATCAACATGTTCTACATCCTAATCTGTTAATTCCAGTATCAAATCAGAAAACTGTACCCAAAGAAAGGGTGTAACAAATGACAAATTTTAACATTAAGTCCAATATCTCTTGTTTGAAATACTGAGGACAACACGTAGTTTAAAAAATCAGAAATTTACAGTTTAAAAAAGTAATGACATTCCTAGCAATGTATAGGGCATTTATAATCAAACACACCGGCTTATTTCAGCAATCTGTGGTAGGAATATTCACAACAGAATAAATATACCTGTCACTTCTCATTTGGTTAGCAGATTCTGAAATTAAACATCAGGGGTTGCAGTACCAGTTATATATAAATCAGTAAAACCACTATCAACTATATAAGCAAAAAAGAAAAAACAGTTTGTACCCATGGTCCTAGGTAAACAGGGAGAAGCGGTTCTTTTCTTTGTTGCAGAAAAAAAATGGCCATCAGAGCAAACACATAGGGTGGCAGGCCTCCTTCTTCAGGGCGATCTATACTGCAAAGCTACACATGAGAAAAAAGAGAAAAGCCAATTTTTTAGAAGTTACATGTCCTTTATACCATTTGACCTAAAACTGACTTCATTCCCACATATTCCATGATTTACAGATTTCTCAAAAATGAAATAATACAACCCCCTCACACTTTTGCCTCAACTACAAATGGTGATTTTGAGTGTTTCAATTTCAAATAAATAATCCTTTTAACCGAATCAGTTCATGAAAGGCTCTAAGACACTCTGCTCTTACATTTTTTGACATTTACAATAAATCCACATGCTTGGTTAAAACATTCTAACTACTTAAAAATGGTGGTTCAATTCCAAATACAGGCCAACTGGCTTGCTCAGTTTAATAATGCTTTCCTCCTAATCTACAGCTTTACAAACGCCTATTTTGGTCAATAAACGTGATTTAGAGTGAATGTAGAAAACAACAGCATTAACAGAAAGAACAAGATACATGCTTGTATTTAAGGAATTCCACCTTACCTTTGCCCAGTGCCTAAATGCAATCACCAAAGGAAGTAATCTGGGCTCTGCTTTTCCAAGGACAGCTAAGTGCTTTGTTGTCAGACAAGCATTTTCATTTCCTGCACTCACTTTACACAGTAGACCACTGGTGGAGATGATGGTAAGGATGGAAAGAAAAAGTGTTACACACACATTTCAGGCACTTTTCATGCCAACACCTATATTACACTGACAATTAAAAAAGGAAACATGGGGCAGGTGTTGTGGCACAGTGGGCAAAGCATGCCACTGCTTAGGCTGCTTACATCCCTGATCAGAACAGGTTAGAGTCCAGCTACTCTGCTTCCAATTCAACTTCCTGTTAATGTGAACAGAAAAGCAGAAAACGGCCTAATTACTTGGCTTCCTGCCATCCTCGTGGGAGACCTGGATGCAGTTCCCAGTAACTGACTGTCCTTGAACACCCTGGTCAGTAAAAGGCATCTGAAGAGTGAACCAGAGGATGCAAGATATCATTCCACTTCTCAAATTAATATTGGGAGATGGTAGCTATTTTCAGCAAATTAAGGAATTGGAATTTTGAATTTTCATGAATGAAAAATATTGGGGGGGATATCATGCAAATAAGGAAATCACTGCAAAATATTTCAAATGAAAGTCTGGTTCATCTTTATAATAATAAAAGTACAAGAGTCAGACAACCTACAGACTACACTCTTATGGTGGTGATGGTAATGCTTCCAGAAGGTAAGCTACACAGGCAAGAATGGCAAATAAAAACGATTATTGCAAGTAGTAATTTGAGAATGCTATTGCCTAGGAAAAAATGGGTTAAATGCTTCCTGCCTACATTTTTTTCTTCCAATTAATTTCATTATTTTTAAAATGAAAGATTTAACTCTCTTGCACGCAATGTCAGAAGTATAGGGAGAATACTAGTAGAAAATTTGTAAGATAACCACATAGAGAATTTATAATTTTAAAAATTGGTCATTAGGTTTAGTAAAGTTCTTGCAGTTTTGGCATACTGATAGTTAAACATAAATAACTTAAAGAAATCGGACCTTTGCTTTTCTCGGCAGACTACCACTGGCACCCTGGCATGGAAATCTGCATCAACATCAATGAAAGAGTCTGAGGGGAAAGAAAGCATTAGGTTAGTTAAAGCTGTGTTTAAAAGCAGAACTAGATAAAGAACTACTTGTGATTAATCTGGTCTTTGGAAAGATTTACTTAGAACAAAACCAAACCAAATCAAGTAAAACAAGCCTCTAAAATGGCTAGAAAAGAAAAAAATACGTAAGATTCCAGCACCACCACATTAATCAAAATCTTTAATATTAAATGATCAAATCAGCAAGCATTTAAATGTTACTTGCATAATTGCAAATACAGATGGGACACTTGAGAACAAAACTCCATTAGAGTTCCACAGAGGACATTACATTGGACATACTGAAGCCTAATTGGGAACAACTATTTGCAAGTTCTTTGATCAAACTCATCACACCTTTTTATGATTTTGTAAAATACTGGTTTAAAGCACAATTAAATAAATAAAGCAAATAATCCTTCAGCTTTACAGGAGTAAATTTACATATCTTGCATTTTTCAGTTAAGGTATAGGACTCCTTAAATTTTTATGAAACGGCTATTCTGTATAATAGAGCTATTAAAAGGCTGTTTATTAATAACTCACAGGCATTTGTTTTGATTTTGCACTGGATATCACCCATTTAATAATTTAAAAATCATGACTATTTTCAAAGATTGAGAAATAAATTACATCCAAGTAATAAACAAAAGGTTTAAGAGTGAGATATGTAAAGAATTTATCCTTACCACTGTTCTTTAAGCATTCTTGAACAAGTAAGAGGACATCTGGCTGAGACATCTAGGAAATAAATGAATACGTGAAATAATCCCTGCGCACTTTCACTTCACTGATACAGTCAAACTGAAGTTCCCTGGACGGCTTTCAAATTAAGAAATGCACAGTGCTTCCATAGTAAAGGAATTACTCACGCGGTGTGCACACACGGGTCAGATGAGCACCACACGAGCATGAGCATCGACAGGGGAGACCTACTCCACAAACAACTCCTGACTGATTCTTCAGGTAGATGATCTAGCAGCAAATCTCAAAGTAGTAACTGAAAGTTAATAATACTGCTTCTCACTCTGTAAAAAAGACCCCTGTAACAGGTACTTTACTAGTCCTGACTTTAGACTTGTCATTCTTTAAACCCATATTTTAGAACGCAAGCAAAATCATTTGAAAATCTGGATCCTAAAAACCTCAAAAGCCTTCTTCCTTCTCTGATATCAAGCTTATTCTCTTGGCCAAAGGACTGTAAGATGCGGCCTGTTGGGTCCTGGACTGCCCCAGCTCGGACCACTGAAGCTACTTGGGGGAAGGAACCAGCATATCTGTCTCTCCTTTCTCTCTCCCTCTTTTTTTAAAGATTTATTTATTATTATTATTTGAAAGTCAGATGTAGAGAAACGAAAAGAGATAGAGAGGAAGATCTTCTGTCCACTGATTCACTCCCCAAGTGGTTGCTAGCTAGAGCTGAGCTGATCCAAAGCCAGGAGCCAGCAGCCTCTTCCAGGTCTCCCATGCAGGTGCAGGGTCCCAAATTTTGGGCCGTCCTTGATTGCTTTCCCAGGCCACAAACAGGCAACTGGATGGGAAGCGGGGCTGCCAGGATTAGAACCGGCTCCCATATGGTATCCCGGCACATGTAAAGTGAGGACCTTAGCCACTGGACTACCATGCTGGGCTCTCCTTCTCTCTCTTAAATCTATCAGATTAAAAAAATTTTAATCTCTTTTTTTAAAGCACAATTATTTCAACCAAACAGGTATACAATAAAGGAAACTCAGGAGCTAATTAAGCTTTTAGATCATAAGTGTTTATCTGTCTACACTGCTTAAATTCTGATTTCCTAGATCCTGTGCTGTGGCCCAGCAAGTTAAGCCACTATGGATATTGCTGGTATCCACTGTGGAGTATCGGTAAGCCACAACTGCTCTGCTTCCAACCTACCTTCCTGCTAATGTGCCTCAGGAAGCAGTGGAGGATGGCCCGACAATGTGAGCTCCTACCTAAAAGGTGGCTCAGGAGGAGCTCCTGGCTCTTAGCTTTTGCCTGGACCAACCCCTGTCCTTAAGGCCATTTGAGAAGCAAACCAGTAGACAGAAGACAGGACTTTCCCTCTTTGCCTTTTAAACAAAACAATCTTCAAAAAACACTGCAGAAAGGAAACTGGTTACGAATTACATAATTCTCGGATTGATTTAAAAGACCCATTAGGTATGAATCTGCTTAGAATTAGAGGCTATCACTGTAAAACCAACGATGCAGAAGCTTGGAAATAAAGGGAAAGAAATCTATATACCCAGCAAATATTAATTAAAAAAAAGTGTGAAAGATCTGTAGAGTGATATGTATACATGAAAATGTGCAGAATATTTTTTAAAATACATTAAAGCTGAAGGAAAGTAGAAGACATAAAATGAAAATTTCTGAGGAAAAAACAAGCCTTTACAAGTAAATATCTAAAATACACATGTGTAAATATGTAAGACATATTTATACAAGAGAAAGTTCTAAAAGTTCATGGCAAATGAAGCCCATGTTTGGTTTTTTTTTTTCATTATCCACATTTTCATGAATTTTTACATTAACTTGAAAATCCAATGTTTCAGTACTTACCGTAGCTGGAAATTGAATGTCAATGTTGACATCTGAATTTCTGAAACCCATTCTGCTACAGGAAGAGCCATACACTCTCAGGGAGCAATCTACAAAACAAAAGTCACACAAGGTCAGGTTTCTTAAAATGTGTAAACTGTTACTGTAGAATTGGATAGCACTTAAAAGTACACCCAAAAGCAAAACCTTCCTCAAGGCTGGCTAAGTGAAGAGTGGGGTCAGCTGACTGCTCCTCTGCCAGTTTTATGTAACAGAGCAGGCTGCAAGGATTGTGGTTCCCCTTAACAGTCACTCCTACATCAGTTATAAAACAGGATAAACATTTCCGACATTTTTATGCTACCATTTTTTTTTCAATATCAAAATGCACAGGCTACCTGATTTATTTAACAATTACAAACCTAAGAGTACACTCAAGAGCTAATACAAGCATTTCATTGTTCAGAAAGCACAGCTAGGTATAATTTGGAGGTTCAATAAAACAATTATAAACATGATCTTTCAACACAGTTGCATCACTTACTACATTATTAACAAGACACACTTAATATCATCTCCTTAGAACATTTTGGAAAATTATAATAATAATATTGATAAAACTAAAAATTCAAAATCCTCCTTTACCTCAGATACATGAAGGAAACAATATGGAAATAATAGTCTTGCCCATTTTCCTGTAGCTCTTGAACCTTTTTACCCTAATTAACTATGTAAAGATTATCAAAGATACAATAAAAAAATGGAAAAAGTTAAAAAAAAACCTAAAAATTCATTTATCTATACAAAGTACTTTAAAAAGTTCACAAAAAATAATTTATAAAATAACTAAATAATTAAAATTAATAAAATTTTGAAAATTAAAAAAAAATTTAAGTAAAATAATTAAAAATTAACAACTTAACTCCATAAATATGAAGAAGTCTTCAAAAAGTTTATAAAGAAGGCATAAATACAAAAATAAATCATGGATATAAAAAAGTTTGTACTAAAATAAACATGTTTTAATTTCATTTTTTATAAAATTTTAAAGTACCCACATTTAATTCATGGTACTTATTTGCAAATTTTTTTAACTACTATTGTACCAAAATATACTTTCTTATCAAATGATTTTTTTTCCTTTTAAGTTTCCTTAATGAATTGGGTTTTAACAGTTTTCCGTAACACAGCACAATCAAGTTTATATGGATTCCTATGCGGGAAAAAATCATTGAAATTCCAAGTGACTTTCCCGGAGATACCTATAAAATGAAAAGAGCAATTCTATCCCCCTCATTTTTAAGTGTGTGTGTGTGTGTTACAAATACTATATGCATGATCCTCTAGCTGAACAAACAGCTCTAAGGATTACAAGGTAATACACTGAAACACCTGCAACCTTTGATGTGAATCAGAATTATATAAGGCACTCTCCAACACTGGTTGTTCTAAGCAGTAAAGATGATTATAATTCTGTTGCAGACAGGACTGGGAATGATTAAGCCATTCTAGCTCTTTATTTAAAGCAAGGTGAGGGAAGAGAGAGTTAGGGGGTACAGTGGCAGGCTTTGTAGCTGCCAAAAAAAAAAAAAAAACTGACGGTAGCTGTGTTGGCATTTACCACACCTGCCCCAAACCCCTTACAAATCACTTACACCCTAGTGTTTCAAGTTCATGATTCTTTGTTTTAAATATAAAAAGGATAATAAGACTTTTATTAAGACAGATAACCTAATGATAGAATACTTCTTTTTAACTCAAACAGTGCATCAATTTAGACAAGTGAGAGGGTAAACAAACGGAAGCACATCAGTCTCACTGCTCCCCAATAGTATGTGGCATCCTACTAATATTACAGTTCACACACTGAAATTTATAACTAAAACAGGTTTATAATGATACTGCATGTAAAAATTTTTGTTATTTTGGGGGAAGGCAGAAAAAAACAACAACAACAAAAAACCCCACTGAAAACAAGATTTTTTAGAACATGGCAAATGAGTTTTTAATAGGAGAAAATTACTACTGTCAGGAAAAAATGAACGAGGTACTTTCAGGCAGCTAAACAAAAAACAAATCTGGAAAATACCTGGTAACTTGTGTTGGAACACATTTTCCATGATACGTTTAATTTCTAGCCTCTGTTCCAGGTTCTCATTGTGTAAGCCAGACTCCTGTACCACTTTGTCAATGGCAATGCCAATTGCATTTATCTGGGAGGGTGTTGGCGGGGGTAACGTAGTGAGCAACTCTTCCTCCTGCTTCTCCTTTTAAGATCAATGTTGAAATTAAATATGACTCACACAGTTTTTACCTTCTACCATTCACTGAGACAACACCCTACAGAATCTTCTGGAATCTTTTTCTTATCCCTCCTTTTTGTCTTAGCAGCGTTACTCCTTACCCTGTCACACACATACACACCTTTTAATGCACAAAAAATGAGTTGGTGATCATAGAGGGTAGACAGGAACAAGTAGAAAGAGCAAGGAAAGAAGATTAAAAACAGCAATGACAAACTGATGATTTACTTTTTTTCTAAAACAGATCCCATCAATGACTTTAATATATCCTGATACTGTCCTTTAAGATAATTCACAAGACTGCCCAGCAGACACATTGTGCCACTATATTTTCCCAAGATAAATTCAACCAAGTACTAAAATTATAACATGACCTTAAGAAAAAGAAAATGACAAAGGTGATAAACAGAACAACTGGTAGGTTTGCACACTTGGTTGAAATTACATTAAACTTACCTTAATGTTTTTCTTGTGTCTCTTCTCTTTGATATGCTTATGGGCAAATGCAATGGATTCAATTAAAACATCACAGAGCTTACAGGTGTACTTTGCTGTAGGGTAGTTGCGTGGTCGCTATAATTTGAAAAGATTTAGAAGAAATGTATGTGGACCTCTAAATACACTTGTAAACAAAAATACCCAATAATTTCTCCTTCACTTATATCATTGACTCTTTACCACTACCCCAATTGTTAAATTGATTTAACAGCAATTACCCTTAATTCCACTATATATCACAATAAATATTACTTTTAACCTGTTCTTGTTAAATACTGACAACCAAATAGGACAAGTAATTCATCAAAGCCATTCCCAACCACTAACCATTCCAAATCATCAACAGTTTGCACAAAACAACAATTTTAACTAGCAAGTATATGTACAAAGTTTTTACCCTTTTTAGCCTGTCAATGCAGTCTCTTTTCAACCGCTCCTCCGCCTGCTGTAAGCCCAGCAGCTCCTTTGTGGAAAGCACAGACTCGTCGATCACAGGACCTTCCAACTCTCCATCTTGCTCATTTTCCTCATTTCTAGTTTTTGGTGCCTTCCTAGGTCTGGACCGCTGTTTCTTGTTTTCTTAATTTGGGGAGGGGATATGATTGGCAATATTGAATAATACCACTCCTGAGTAATAAGCAGAACCCTCAGATTATTTAAACACCCTATTATTTAAACCATAGGACAAATGACATCTACACAGAGCCCATGGAAGAAAGGTAGTTGCCCCATGGGCTAAATGCCCGAATATTTAGTAAGCACCTCATCTGACTACACCAATCCACAGAAGTTGTCTTTTTTAAAAATTGAAAATGAATTCAGTGTTAATAACAATGTTTTACTATCTCTTCACTGTGTACTGCAGAACATACTTGGACTATAAGAAAAACCATCCTTTGAAGGCAAGTATACCTGCAATTCTAATAAACTGGACATATTATTCCATATGTACATGTATTCAATATAGCCTAGTATACCTATACTATACCTATTACTAAAATTAAAAATCACCTGTATTTGCTTTTACTTAGTAAAAAGATTTTTTTTTATCTGAAAGGCAGGGTTACACAGAGAGGAGGAGACACACAGAAGTCTTCCACCCACTGACTCCCTCTCCAAAATGGTCACCACAGTCAGAGCTGGTTCAGTGCTAAGTCAAAAGACAGAAGCTTCTTCTAGGACTCCTACAGGAGCCCAGGTACTCAAGCTAACTTCTGCTGCTTTCCTAGGGCATCAGAAGGCATCTGGACTGGAAATGCAGTAACGGGAATGGAGGACATAAACCTCCTATGAAGAAATTTAATCCACTGTGCAACATCATCAGTCTCCGTTTTCATTTTTTAAGAAAACAGTCTCAATACGCTAAAACTGGATAGTCTTCTATGTAAGAGGACAACTGATTGGATCTATTAGCTTGTTTATAAAACAGATCTCTCCAGTCAAGGGTGTGGGAACAATTGATGGCATCTATAGTATATGTAATTTCCTCAAGCTCTCCTCCTTTACCTATGTGTCTGTCAGTCTATAACGGTCTGATGTCTACTGGCCATCAATCAGGAGCCCACAGGTACGACCACTGGCTCCACGTACCAAGTCTAGTCCACCAGCGAACACTTACATATTCTTGGAGAACTTTGAATCACTTTATTTTTTAACTTTAGTGAAGAATCATTTAATTGTGCATTACCTTCAGTAATACACAACTGGGGTATAATGCATCCACAGTCTAATGTCCAAGGCCAAACCTTATTTACCAAGCATAACTATTTCCCATTCTATTTTCACTTTCATTTCCCTTGACTGGCCTGTCAACTGAGCATATTTCAATGAAAAACAAATTAGCAGCTGAAGCAAATTCTGCATTAAGTACAAATTCATTTGTTCATAAATGTTATTGCAGCCTTTTTAATAAATGTTCCTGTTTTCAACTTAAAACCTCTCAATCTGTGAAACAAGTTAGTTGCGGGGTTAAAAAAAAACAGCTTTAAAATAGCTTTGGTAACTCCTCAATCAAGTTCTAAAAATGACGATATCAGTAATGCACAATTAAAACAGACTTATTGCCCAAATTAAAATCCTGGTAAATAGCTGGAATCATTTCCAAAGGCTTACTTTAAAAGTTCCTGAAAATCAAAAGCTATCAAAACACTGCTTGAGGCAGCTCCTGCAACAAGTTCCCACAAGAACTCATTAGTACAACAATTACGATGATTTCGCTGACAGAAACAAAACCCTGTGTCAGAAATACAGGAATAGCACCACCATTTAAAAAAGGTTATTGCCATGAGCCCCAAAAACAAACAGAAATATATAAATAAGAAATAAATATACGGAAATTCTGCCTAATGTCAAACTAAAGTGCAGAAAAGTTTCTTTCCCTAAATTAATCAAAATGGAGAGAACAGATAAGAAAAACTAAATGGTAATCACTTAAGCAGAAAATCAGGCTATCTCACTAACTTCCTCTTACTACCTTACACTCAATTAGATACATATGACCTCTGGAAGTCACTTGATCTAAACACATTTTTGAGGTAAGCACTGCTTTTAACTTAAAGCTGTGTCCATTTTCATTTACCTTGTGTATCTTTCAAACTCTTACCTTTCTCTAAAGAACTGCGCATGACTTCAGTGCATGAAAAAATCCTAGAAATCTCACTAGAGTTACACTAATACTTGCATGTGTAATATACTTTAGCAAAGTCCATGTTAGCTCACAAACCTGTAGTTGATACTCAACTAAGCTCCTTTAACCTCTCCTCTGATGGTCACAAAGGTTTCTCCATGTATTTACTGGCACTGTCCAGAAGACAGATTCTCTTTCCCTCACAGACCACAATTAACTCCTACTGTGTTTATGCACAGCAATAGGTAGCTGTAGAAATTGTGGAGTGCTGATGGTAGATACCATTGCTATCTGCTCACATGACAGCAGGCCAGGCTCCTTACATGCTTTCTCTCATTGAGTTCCTACAGCCATTCTGATGTGGACATCAGTGTTATGTACATTGTCCAGACAGGGACTAACTCTGTCCAGAGTAACTCAACCAGGCACTCATGGTGATGACAGAGGAAAGGGACTTACGATGCAGATTAAACAAAGGAGGAATTCTGGGTCCAGAGTAATGGCTGAATTGGCTAATCCTCCCCTTACAAGCTCTAGGATCCCATATGGGCACCAGTTCGTGTCACAGTTGCTCCACTTCTCATCCAGCTCCCTGCTTGTGGCCTGGGAAAGCAGAAAATGGTCCAAGGCCTTGGGAACCTGCATCCGTGTGGGAGACCCAGAAGAAGCTCCTGCTTCGGACCAGCTCAGTTCTGGCTGCTGTGGCTATTTGGGAAGTGAACCAGTGGACAGAAAACCTTTCTGTCTCTCTCTTTGTAAATTTTCCTTTCCAATAAAAATAAACAAATCTTTAAAAATATAAAGAAATACAGGTGAAATTCTGAATTCCAGCCTCTAATAACAAAGGAAAAGCTAGGGATAAGTCCTATTGGGAGCTATCCAGTCATATCTACACTGTGCTAGGCCATATAACCTCTGATCAGAGTTTCTACAGGATTCCAGACAAAAGTATCAAATCAAACCTCATGGGAGGGCCTCCTGGAAGCCCAGAATGGACACTATGGAAGGATTTCCAGAATTACTCAGAGGAAGACATTCTGGCCCGTGCCAGGTTTAGTGTACGAGGAACACCATTTAGCATCAGCATCCCAAGAGTCCCATGTTTGTCTGCATATGGCCCGTTGTGCTATGCTTAAAGGACACATACAATGGAGGTCATTAATGGTACTGTCCCAAATACATTAAGGAGGCAATCTCAGCAGGATGTATAGAGCATGAGCAGGGGTGCTAATGTAAGCCTGAAGTAGGAAGTAAATGAAAAAGGAAGTCTAGTACAATTTTCATCATATCTTTTCACATTAATAAGACCCTTTCTTCTTCAGATCCAGTTTCGATTTAAGGACATTTCAATTCTTTTAATGAGATGCATGTTAAGAATTGTTTGAAAACAGTGGGAAGTTTGTCCTTTAAAATTGCTTCCACAGTAAAAAGCATTATTCCAAAGCTGAGTCCTTGCACAGTCCCTCATGAAGATTCTCACAGGGCAGCAGCTCAATGTCCTTCATTAGAAACTGTGAGAGCGCACACCTGTACTTTGTATGGGGCGAACACGGGAGCTTTTGGATTGCCTTCCACTCAGACACTGAACAAGGTTTCCTATTCAAACTGAAAAACAACTTTTCATTCAGTTTTAAAACCAAATGGGAATCCATATAATAACCTTCTGGCCTGCAAAGTATGTTTTAGTATGTCCAGATGCAAATTTTTGGTCAATAAACCTCTAAAAAAATGACAGAAGATTACCATTCCAAAAAAATCAACTGTAGAATAATTAAGTGTCCACACCCCACCTGGACATAACAATACAGAAATACTTAAGCACAGGGTTGGACACTGGGCCTCTCAATTACACCAGCATCTGGGATGCCTGCAACCTCTACCAGGGTGCCTATGTTCAAGTCAGGCTTCCTGCTAGAGTAAAGCTCTGGGAACAGCAGCCATCACTGTGGGATATGCTTCCTGGCTCTAACTGGGGAATGAGCCAGGCAATGAAGTGCGTGCACTTTCTCAAACACAGAAAAACAGATTTATCATATACATGAAAAAAAATTCAAAACCAAGAAAAGAAAAACATAAATCAAAAACTTAGAAGCTGTCAGTAGACATTTAGTTTCCCTGTCAAGACTTCAGGCAGTTACAAAGTTCCACTTCCTCAAAGACCACTGTGCACAAGCAGGCTAGATAAATTTAACCTTAGGGCCAGCGGTGTGACATAAATAAAAAGTCATCATCTGTGATGCCAGCAACCCAAACTGATGATGGTTTTGCCCCAGCTGCTCCACCCCAAGCTAATGGCCTGGGAAAGTAGCAGATGTTGGTCCAAGTGCTTGGCCCCTCGCAGCCACCCTTTTGGGACCCAGGTAGATGCCCCTGGGTTTGTCTGCCAGTCCTGGCCATGCCTACCATCTGGGGAATGAATCAGGAAATGAAAGATCTGTTTCTGCCTCTCTGTGTAACTCTCTCAAATAAAATAATTCCTTAGCCTAAATATGTAAATATTAAAGAAAAGACTCTAGCCTCTATGGGCTCCAGCTGCCAATTTTTAAGACAGTGATTCCACGTCTGACAATACTACACGAAATGATTCTTTCAAGTGCTTTCTACTTTAGATTTACAAGCACAATGCTAAGAAACTGTTTGTTCCCCACTACTGAATTCACAATACTTCACTGTGTTAATACTACCTGATATGGACATTTACTCTAAATAAATATCGAAAAATACCTAATAGCATCAATTCCCCAATTAAGATGAACAAGTGCTCTAGTTTTTCATGTTTAATGTAAGACTGTGTTTTAAAAAACTTAAGGATTCTATATGAATGAGTCAAATATTAGGGTCTTACACAGGTAACATATCAGGGTACTCACAGAAAAATCCAATTTAAATCTTACTTTGGTGTAAAACAATTTCAAATTCATGGATACTTGTATTTATATGAAGTAGCCACTGTTAGATACTATGAAGCAAAAAAGCCTCTCAGGCGGCATCCACTTTGCCTGAAAACATTTAAAGGCAAAAATGTCTTATAAGAACTGGCCGGTCTGCAACTCATTGTAAATGGCCACTAAAAAAGCTTTCAGCTGTAAACTCAAAAGTCCATTTTTCCAAGTATCATTTCCATTTTCACACCAAATATTATCATTTCATGCTTTTTCAATTCAATGTACATCTTCATTTCATTCAGTTAACGGTCATTCATTGGTTACAACATTCCCTTCCTGCATAGGAAATGACACTACAAGGACAATCTATTTTAAGTTCTAAAAAACTTTAGGAAAATCACTTTGGGGTCAATTACTATCAAATACGCCAGGGCACTTAAAAACGTGTTTTGGTTACAGAGCTGTTTTTACTTCTGAATTTCTAAACTTAGGTCTACGGACTAACACCCCTTTTTGTAGAACAAAAATATTAAGTAATTCTATCTAGACTGTTAATCTTATTCCAAATACATTTATTCCTTTTATTGCAGACGATACATACAGTCTATGCTGTGCTTCTACAGGAAATAAGGAACTACTTTAGCTTAACTTCTGATTCTGTCACATTCTGTCTTTGTATTCTGTCATACCCGCATTTAAACAGAAATGGCGATTGTATTTTGAAAGCCCACCACTCAGAAATTACAATATGGTCCAGGGAGAAATGATCACCCTCTACTGTGAAAAAAAACAAAAACAAAACACCAGCAGAAAGTACATGTACTACAGTAAAACAAGCCTCATGGCAGTCAGTTTTTAAAGGCAGCAATATAGGAAGTGTGCTGAGACTGCCCAAATATCCATTACACTCTTTACAACAATCATATGAAGGAAGTGACCACTCGAGAAGCAGAAACAATGAACAACTGGATCGGCAGGGTTGGAAATAAGGCGCAGGCAGGTCAGAAGGAAAAGGACAGTCCTGATTCTGGTTTGTAGTATATGACAAGATACGACATTACCAGGACTTCCGACTTCCACTTCGGACATGGCTTCTAGGCTTGTTAGGTCCTTCTGGAACAGCTGTCTTACAGCTCTGCAGCCTCTGCTGTCTGGCCGCCTATAACCATCTTCACTGTCTTGAAAGGAGTCTTTTCTTGGGCGGCTTATGATAGGAATTTTTGGTCCAAGTTTGAATTCTCTCCAACCATCGGAATTACCAGCAAGTTCTTCAGCAAGCCATCTCTTACCCTGATCTTTGTGGCTGTCATTTATCCAAGCAGGTGGGCTGTAAATTGGGTTCTTAAACGCGTAGGGATTGCTGGAAACCACATAAGGTCCTTTTCGGGGGGTATTCCCATAGTTCCCTGGTGTTACCTTTCTTTTTGGAAGGCCTTTTTCCATTTTATTGCCGTGGCCTTTGGCATAATCATCCATTACCAAATAATCCTGCTGGGGGCGGCCCCTTCGGAAATCATCATCATCAACAGTTCCCCGGTCTTTAGAGCGTCTCACAAAATAAGGTTTTGCTGCATCTCCCATGGTCTCTGACTTCAGTTTTCTTACTCTGCACCTGAAAGAAGGCATTTTGGGGAAGACATACAACTATAACAGGACATAACACCAAGTACCCAAATTACGACAAACCCATCAAAAACCCCTCTTTTTCTACATGATTCTTTCCGTAGAAGTCCAAGCACAACCCTGAATATCACTGCATTGGGCTACACTGGTTAGGAGGCTTAGTCTCATATTAGTCTCATGTACAGCTAGTACTTACTATTATTAACACGAAGACAACCTGTATAGGAAGCTGCTGTCCCCAGCACCGGAGTAGGGCACCTTGCTACTCAAGTTCATTGGCTTTCACCTAATCGAGTACAAGAGGCTCTCTTCCAAGAAAATCTTTTCCCAAACATAAACAGTTCTGTTACAAAACTCCCCAATAAGCCTTTCAGCAAAAGCATTTGGCAATTACTTTGTTACACAAGCTAATCGAAACTTAGACCGAAAGGAGTGCCTCTCCTCTCCTCTCCTCTCCAAATCCACTCGGGTCGTTACCCCGACGCCCTGCAGAGCCCACGGACTGGTCCCGGTAGCTGAGGGGCTCCAGACCCGAGGTGACGTCTCGCCGAGGGGACTGTGCTCCCTCCTCTAAGGGACAACTCCAGCTAACTTCCCCTTTTCCATTCCGCAGCCCCAATCAAGTTCGGTTCCGTCACAAACAACAATTCTCCGCAGAACGACACTCTTCGGGGGATCCCCCACCGGCCTGCCCCACCCCCTTCCTGAATTCCGAACTGCCTCAGTTTCCCCCCTGAAGGGAGAAAGAGCAGGTGTCCCCACACTCCTGGCCGAAAAACCACCACAGGGACCAGGAAGCAGGAAGTGACCTGCAGCGTCCCTGGGGTGCCAGGGTCCCCCCCTAGCAGGTCAGGGGCCGGGGCCCAACGACCCGACTTCAAACCCCTTCAGGTGGCTGCCCCTGCAGAGTCTGACACAAAGTGAAGACACCTCGAACCCTGAGAGCTCAGCCCCCGCCCAGCCAGGCGCTCCTGACCACCGAGACTGGAGCGAGGAGGCCGGTGTCGCATGCAGCTAACGTACCTCCGGGGCCCAGGCCCGACCTCGGCTCTGGAGCCCAGCGCAGCCCCAGCCTGAAGCAGCTCTCGGACCGACGCCGGGAGAAGGCGTCCGCAGCACTCACCACCTCCGCCGCGGTCCCCCGCCTCTTCCTGTCCCAACCCGGCTCCCTCTCCGTGTTTTCCTTCGGCCCCACTTCCGGCGCTCAGCGCCGTCTCATTGTGCGCGATTGGGAGCCGCCAGAGCCCCCGCCCCAGCGCTGCGCTGCGCACGCCGGAAACGCGCGCCGCGCTCGCTCCTAAGTCTGCCCGTGGCCCCGCCCCACCGGCCCCGCCCCCGCCGCGCTCATCCTAGGGCTTGTCCGTCGCCCCGCCCCCTACACCCCGCCCCCGCGCCCTGCTAGGGCTGCCCTGGCCCCGCCCCCGCTAGGGCTGCCCTGGCCCCGCCCCGTGTCCTCCTAGGGCTGTCCTGGCCCCGCCCCCAGGCCCCGCCCTCGCGGCGCCAGCTTTGGCTCCTGGCGCGGTTTCGGTTGCGCCCGGTTGCGGGTTGTCCTCTCGCGGATGTCGGTCGGCACCGTTCCCGAGTTTCTCTAGGAAATTTCGGCGTGAGGGGGCCTGGCCCCGCTGCGTGCGTGCCCGTGGGGTCCCCGGGCCAGGCAGCCAGGCAGGCAGGCGCTCGCGGACCGTTTTGGCTATGGGCTTTGGGAGTGTTTTTGGTGGTAATTCCGCGGTTGAACGTTCCGTCGAGGCGCCGGCCGTTGATCGTCTCGCGTCCACCCAGACTTTTGGGGGTCGAGGGAAATCCTCTGCTTTGTTCTCTGTGTAAGGATTAGTTGTACTTGAACCCATCGGTGTGTTTGGAAGAATATGTGTACGGGCCAAGGACGAACCAAGAGGTTCACACTGGAATTTTTAGACCAAAAAGGGGGAGGTGGGGAAAACCACTCTTAACTACCTTTTTATTTTCTGAGGTATTCTAAATGCTTTAACTTTTCTGCTCTTTAAGAGCGTTTCAATGCCCACTCAAACGAGGTTTTATGGGGCTAAGCTCTTAATGACAGAGTCCTGGCTGACCTAAGAAGGTTAATCTATTTAATCCTCACAGCCGTTCCAGAAGAAAACGTAATTCTTCCCATTTTAAAGATGGGTAGAAGGCAGCTTTTGTTTCTTTAAATTTTCTCTTTTTTTGAAAAGGTTTTACAGATATAGGAGAGACAGAGAGGTCTCCCACCTGCTGGTTCACACCCCAGATGGCTTCAGTGGCGAGAGCTGAAACAGCAACCAGGACCCTCATCCACATCTCCCACGCAGGTGCGGAGTCCTAAGGACTCCGGCCGTCCTCCGCTGCTTTCCTAGGCCACCAGCAGGGAGCTGAAAGGGCAGTTGAGTAACTGGGACACAATCTGGTGCCCGTACGGGATACCCGCGATTACAGACGAGGATGAACCAGTTTAACCATCGTGCTGGTCCCAGTTGGTTTTTAGAAGAAATCAATGCCACTTCTGGAATCCAAATCCTGCCCATCAGGCACATCAAAGTGGCGTAAGACACAGTATTACCACTTGTGTTTTCATTTCTTAATGAGATGCTTTCATTCTGCTCACACAGAAGTCAAATACTTCTGTCAGGTAGGCAGTGGCTTTTAACCTAGGAGACAAAGGGTGTGTGGTGATGCATGGTGAGGGTTATTACGGGAAGCAGTGGCGTCACCACACCCAGGTGAATAATTCAAGGATGAAAAAGAACTGGCTTAGGCTCGGTCTGCCTCAGTCTCCCAGAGTAAGGGAGGTGTCCAGAAGCTACATGTTTTTCAGGACTTAAAATATCTTGGCTTTGAAGTATTTTCCCCAAACCTGATTTCTCTTATTCTAAATGAGTGGCGATTAAGATTGTTCTTGAGGATAAATGAAGTACTTTAAAGTGAGGTGTGATACTAATCAGGACACTGGCAGCAAAATAACACCACTTTTGTTATCCTTATTGGAAATTCACATTTTTGGGGTACTATTGGAAAGAATACTGAATTTACTTTCTAAGATATATTTTATTTGAAAGATAGAGTTAGAGAGACACAGAGATCTTAACAGCTGCTGGTTTACTCTGCGACAGCTGGAAATGGGCCAAGCTGAGGCCACCAGCTGGGAATTCCATCCAGGTCTCCCACATGAGTGTCGCATGCAAGCATTTGGGCCATTTCCATCCTGCATTAGCAGTGCAATAGCATGGATTGGAAGTGGAGCGGCCGGGATCCAACCTGTGGTGGCAAAGATTCTTCCCTGGTTTGCTGCACTACTACACATTATCTGGAAGTGTTAATTCTGTTCAGTAGGTTGTAACTTGTCTTCTGTTTGCAACAAGAAGCCTCAAGTTGTGATGTCTGGACAAGCTGAGCTTTAACAAACCCAGTGCCCTTTTTTCTGTCTAGCTGTCGAGTCAGGAGTGTGGGAATTAGATGCATAGCTCTTTTGGCCATTTTTACCTGGTGTTGTCTATCAACTTTTATATATATATAATATATGTACAGTACATGTATAGAATATTGACTCTTTGTTTACATTTGTTCAGAACCCAAGGACTTCTCACCATATCTACGGCTTTCTGCCTGGAGCTAGTCACCGTCACTGCCACTGCTTAGCCCGGATTGCTGCAAGCAACAGCTCTCACCACTGTCCTTCGGCCACCTGTTTTCAACACTGCCTTTGGAAAGTTTGGCTTCTGTAAAATGCATATTAAGACACAAGCCAGACTGTGAGAGTCAGATGGGTTAATAGGCAGTTAGGTAAGGTCCCTGTGAAAATGGAAAAAGGGGACAAGGTCCCTTCAGAAGTCAGAGAAAACTGTTTGCCCCTCCTAGGCGTGGCCTGTAATAGCACTTAGTTTGATCCTAGGAAGACCCAGTGTTTGCTAAAGATAGCCCAGAAAGGCTTCCCTGACCCTGGCAATAAGCCATGAGACTCACTACTTGCTGATTGGTCAATAATTCCTATCCTTGGTTCCCTGAGTGGTTACTAACCCCTGCCTGCATAGGCCAATTAGAGATGCATCTTTCCATGATCTTTGGCCCCTAATTGGATATAGCTTTATCCCTTTGAACTAGCCCGTCAAAAGCAGCACACCCTTTGGGGTGTCATTTTGTGTGATCCCAAGAGCCTGCACTTGCCAACTGTGAGGGCAGCTCTCCCCTTGGAATGCCCCCCACACTCCAGGTCCCACCCTACTGCTGCAACAGAGAGTCCTGTCAATAAAACTTCTGCTTTGCTCACCATCCTTGTCCTTCCAGAAGTTCCTTGCCATGAGACGAGAACCAGCGTCTTCCCTCATAACTAATCTTCCCCTTCAAAACTATAACCAGACAATGCTAGGGTACATGAGGGGGAGGCACTAAGAGATAAAAATATGAAGCAGACCAGCATTTGCACGTTAATAGGATCTGCTGTCCCAGATCCTATTTTTTTTTTTTAAGATTTATTTGTTTGAAAGGCAGAGTTAACACAGTTAGAAGGAGAGATAGAGTAGTCTTCCACCTGCTGGTTCACACCCCAAATGGCCACAACAACCAGAGCTTGGCAAGGTAGATTCTTCCAAGTCTCCCATTTGGGTACAGGGGTCTAAGCACTTGGGGCATCCTCTGTTACTTTCCCAGGTGTGTTATAAGGGAGCTAGATCAGAAGTAAAGCAGCTGGATCTGGATCTAGTGCCCATTTGGGATGCCTATACCACAGGTGGCAGCTTTCAGCTATGCCACAGCACTGGCCCCTCCAATAGCTTCTTAGGTGAGTCCAGCACTTGCCCAGGGGGACAGCTTCAGGAATCTTCTTGCCTGTGCAAGGGGGGTGGGGAGCGAAGGAGCTGTTTTAGTTCCAGTCACACTAGGGTAACAATTTGGAAAAATCTCATCAATTCCACACCTGGAAAGTCCTTTGCCCAGCAATATCCAAGAAAGAAGGAGAGACAAAATGGTAAGCACATATCTATATCTGGATGCAGACTGGACCCTTAGTTCTTTGCTTAGATACCTGCCTGGCCTGTCATGTGTATTTTCATTAAACCTGGCTAGCTTGCACACTGCTACGCTATCTCATATTGGAAATTCTTTTGTTGGGCAAAGACAAGGACTTTGAATCTAGCTGTCTCTAGTAGTAGAAACGCAATGATATGGGCTGTAAGCCAAAAGGAATCTTGTACTGGCAAAAATAAAAGGAGATTGCTTCATGACCAGATAAAATGAAACAAAACAGAAAAACAAGCAGGACTTGCTTTGAGGGAAGTTGTACTACATGTTAAGTTTGGGGACAAGATCCTGGAAGCATATGCATATTCAAAAATACTTGGGAGTGCATGTATGGCTGCTAGGTTGCCATGTGTGTTACATGATTTCCATGTTTACTTGGAGGTAGTTTGTTATAACAAGGGAATTGTTGGCTTTATGTCAGAAAAGTAAAGATGAAGGCATAGTTGTCACCTATGAGCAGGCCTCTTGAACTGGCCACAGCTGGATGGGGCCTTTCAACCTCATAATGGCAGTGTTTGGCCACTGAGCTTTATCTTCAAGCATCCAACTGCCTTGCATGCATGAGCACTGGGTTATTGGGGGAAGGGGTGTAAACATGTAATGGCCTCCCATGTTCCTGGGAGTAGAAACTAAGGACTCTTTTGCACTGGTCACAAAGCCCCTGTGGACCTTACCCCTTATCCCTCTGAACACCTGTGAGGTACCCTTAGTTATCTTTAACCCACATCATGGTTTTTTGTCAGAGAGCTCCTAAACTCCAGGAGATTTCCTGTGTTCTAGGGGTGTTTTGTTATTCATAATGAGCCCCTTTAGTTGGGATCTGAGTTTATGCGCAGATAAGAAGGCCAGTTAGGGTAGAGACCCTAGAGAGCCTCCCGATGGGGTCAGTTCCCAGAAACACTGAGAGATCGAAGCACTGATGGATTGGGACTTAATGCCATATTTACTAAGTCCTGGCAAGGGGACCCTGAGTATCAAACTCAAGGAGAGCTTGAATGGGATTGGATGATGAGCTTTCCAAGGCTGAGCACAACAAATAACATAGACCGTCTGCATCCTGCACTGTAGCTTGCCCTCAAGACCATGTGTATATGTGGGGGTATACACACACTTATTTTCTTACTATTATGACTTTTTGCCCACTGCAATTCATGGAATAAACAAGACATATAAAAACATTGATATAAGGTTTACAGAGGTAATGCCCTAGGCCTGGGAGATATATGTCCAGTAACCTATCAGAATACTCCAATCACTATATTTAATAAGTCCTGGGATATTCCAAAGTCATCAAATTCCAGTTAGCATTTGTGCACTGAAAAATCCAAAGGCATGGCTTCACATAAGTGAGGGTGAATTTTCCATGATTGGAAATTATTCTTTTTAGAATCTGGTTGGCTACAAACACTTTCAGAGATGGTGAATATGGTCCCTGATTTTAGCTCCTACTTACCCTTCAGGAGGACATTTCTGAAAGTGGCATTAGAGCATAGTGAGCTAAGCCATTACCTGCAATTACCTGCAATCCTGGCCTCCTATATGGGTGCTGGTTGGTGTCCTGGCTGCTCTGCTTCCAATCCAGATCCCTGCTACTGGTCTAGGAAAAGCAGTAGAAGATGGAACAAATTTGGGATTCCTGTCTTTCAAATGGGAGACCCAGATGAAGCTCTTGGCTTCTGTCTTTGGCCTGCCTCAGTCCTGGCTATTGATGCTGTTTGGGAAGTGAATGAGCATGGAAGATACATTCTGTCTCTCTGTATCTCTTTCTCTCTTTGTGCGTCCTCTCTAACTCTTCCAAATAAACAATCTTAAAAAAATTTCTGGAAATAAAGAACAAAGGATTGCTCAAGGCTGCCCAGGATGGCTAAGACAGGTCTTTGTGTACATAAGACTAGTCAGTCTGACCTAGTAAGTAAGATGAACAGCTCTGCCCGGCTACTCCTCACACAGAACCCAGAGTTCTCGCGAGCTGTTTCTCTTTGATGTCGTGCAAGATTTTAGCGCAGTTTATTCTCAAAATTTTATTCTACTTTAAAAATATTTAAAACTTTAAAAAATGATTTGTTTTTAGTGGAAAGTCAGATCTAAAGAGAGGAGAGACAGAGAGAAAGATATTCTGTCCACCAATTCACTCCCCAGGTGGCTATGATGGCCGGAGCTATGCTGAACCGAGGCCAGGAGCTGCTTCCAGGTCTCCCACATGGGTACAGGGTCCCAAGGCTTTGGCCATCCTTGACTGCTTTCCCAGGCCACAAGCAGGGAGCTGGATGGGAAGTGGAGCAGTGGGATATGAACTGGCACCCATATGGGATCCCAGTGCACGCAAACTGAGGATTAGCCACTAGGCTACCACACCAGGCCCTAAAATATTTCTTTGAATGACAGAGAGGGAGGGAGGGAATCCCCATCTCCCTGTTGATTTCCCACACACCTGAACTGGACTGAAACTAGGAGCTAGGAACTCAACCCAAGACTCTTCTATGGGTGAGAAACCCAACCATTTGAGCCAACATCACTGCCTCCCAGGGTTCCCACCCACAGGAAGTTGGAATGAGGAGCTAGAGGCAAGAACCAGCTTGATGTGGGTGAAGCAAAGATTTAGAAAGGGATAAACAGCTCAGGCTTGCCAGCACACAAGTCATGTACTCTATCCAAATCCCATCACTTTCCATATAGATTAATCATGGTTAAAGACTCAACACATCCATTTCTCCTCTTGCAGCTAAGCCTCACTTTCTATCATGCTCCAGAGTCCATGAACACTTCAGTGTGTTTTGTCCCCTCCACCCCAGCTGGAAAGTAACTTTTATTGAAGTCTCACCAGTTGCACAGTCTGTTCCTGACATTGATCCTTCTTTAGTGATCCCATGAATGCCTTCTCCACATTCTGGAAGTGGCCATGGCCAAACTTGGAGGTGGTGCTGATGAACTCAAGGTCAATCTTGAGGGTCTGCTGTTTGTTCTATGCAAGCAGAGACTTCTGGAAGGCTAGCAGTCGCTACCTTGTCCTTCACCACACAGCTTTTCGGCATGATGGTCATTAGTGACTTCACAGCAAGGACAAGGCCTCTTAGAGAGTCGGTATTCTTGTTTGGACAAGTCATGGTTGACTTGATCACTTCGCCATCCTTAATCAGGTAACCGTGTCCAATCTTGTAGATCTTTCTGTTTATCTCGTTGATGGTGGCATTTCAGCCCAGTCAGTCATGGAGAAGGCCACGTGTGCAGGGTGCCATACCGTAGTACAGGTGGCTTTGTGCAGGCCTCGGGAACAGCTTCTTGTGCCAACAACTGGTGATTACCTTTGTAGCCTTTGCCCTTAGTTATCCCAATGATATCATTCATCCTGTCCTGACCAAAACTTGACACACTGAGACTTGCTGCTCCAGCTGTTCCCAGTCCCAGTCCCAGTCCCCATCTTCTGGATCTCCATCAGATGGGTTTTTTCTGATGTAGAGGATGCAGGTGCAAATGGATGTGGATGATGATGCAGATGACCTGACAGTACTTTTTCAGCTGCCTCTTGCCGATGTCATCCTGCCTCTTCTTGGTGAAGGATACTTGGTGAGGGAATTCAACTTACACCAATTCTTCCAAAAACACCCTTCTGTACTCAACACTGATGTGCTTGGCAACAATGATCCTTAAGGTCTAGAGGTCCTGAAAAGTTGCCATTAGTCCCTATACCTTACAACCACCATGAGCAGTATTTTTGCTGTGATCACAGTCTCAACTTCCTTCCAGTTCAGTTTGGACCCTGATCTATCAACTTCCTGCATGATGTGCATCTGTTGTGTGTCTGCCCTCCTCCTTCTGGTTACAGCAGTATGCTGAGTTGAGCATGAAAGTACATGAGGTGTGTTAACTACTGCTTACTCCACCCTAATTACCCTACTACCTTCATCACACCATGGATGCTGTTACCGTGCGACTTTGAGCTGGGTGTTCCCTTTACCGAAGACATGTCCCGTAAGTCACCTGTATTGCTCACCTCCTCCTCCCATAATATCTTAGCTCAAAGATCACACTGTCATTGTGGCCCGCTATGACCAACATATAAGTTACAACCACAAGCCTCTCTTCTGCCTTCCTAACACACTCCTCTGGTCTATTTAAAAATGTGTCTTAAGATTTATTTATTTTTATTGGAAAGTCAGATATACAGGGAGGAGAAGAGACAGAGAGAAATATCTGTCCACTAATTCACTCTCCCAGTGGCCAAGACAGCCGGAGCTGAGCAGATCCAAAGCC